GTGTCTACTGTAGTCATTTGGTTCTTTGAAAGTATAAAGACAGAGACATTTAACTTCAGGTTTTAAGATTATTTCTTACATACACATTTATACAAGTATAATATCCAGCACTCTGGCTGTACACAAATAAAGAAGAAGACATAAACACAAGAATTCCAATCAACTTTTTCTTTTAATATTAGCTGACAGACATTCAAACCATTGATCTCACTGAGTAGCTGAGTAATGTGTAGGTAGTGGGTGGTGTGGGCTTTAGCAGTCTGATGGCATGAAGATCAAAGCTTCTCCATATTGTTTCTGTGCTGGCAGCACATAAACAGCACACAGTAGTGTCTCCCCAATGGCAGTCAGCTGTTAGGGTGGCTGGAAGAATCTCCCGCGATCCTCTCGGCTCTAGATCTGCATCATCTGAAGTACACATCCTCTTCTCTCAGCTGAATCAACTACCCTCCTGATGGATAAGTGGTCATGCCCAGGGAATGATGCACCCTTCCCAGAAGTGCAGAGATTCCTGAGCGCCCTGAGCAGGAGTTTGAAGTACTTTAATCACCTGAGGTTGTAGAAGCCTTGATGGGATTTCTTCAGCAGGGTGTTACTTGAAGTTATCCACTTTCTCTACCTAGGCCTGATTTATACTGAGAGGGTAGAATAATACTCTGCTGTTTTTTCATGGTCCCCTCGGTTTCCTGAGTTCAGCTCAAAGTTGCTCTCCTTATACCAGGTGAAAGGTGGTTGATTTCATACCAGTGGGCAGATGCATTATTATTTGAGAACAGTCCTGCTCTCGGCACATAATTTTATGGAGCTCCAGTGCTGAGAGTGAGAGGAAGGAACCATTTGTGGCCTGTCAGCCAGCCAGGAAACTGATCATGGGATGCACAGGTGCACAGGGATTTCTTTTTTTTTTGGGGGGGGGGTGCCTGAAGGGGGCTATTAGTTTACAACCTCTGCTAATACTGAGGTTACTAAGTGTGCAGATACATTTTCTTCAGAATAAAAGTCTATAAACATCACTGCGTGAAAATGTTTAGAAATAAGGTAGATGATAGGATTCAGACCGCCTTAAAGTTTCCACACATTATTTTAAGCAGACAGAATGTTCTCTTTTTCACCGCTACTCAGTATAAAGTTCCTACACATTTTAGTAGATTAAGCGGACCTATTTTCCTTATTTCTAGTCATCTCGCCACAGAATTTCTGTTTACAGAAGACAGCCAATCAGAAGAAAGGTGGCTTAAAGTAGGAGGAGCTAAAGCAGGTTGTTTGAGACAAGTGACATGAAACAGTAGACAGTAAAATTAAAAAAGGATTATTTTGAGCTGTGAAACAGGCAGAGCTACTTGAGTAAATGTATTTAGTTACTGTATGTCAGCGATTATTTAACAGACTTCAAAACACTGACATCACAATATTAACATGACAATCTAACCCACTTAATGTCACTTTTCTCAACTAAAGGATGAAGAAGGTAAAAGGTAATATTGCTCAATTTCTTTTTAAACTTCAGTAGCGTTCACTCCATTAGCAATAATTCACCTAAAACACTTCCTCTTCATGCAATGACCGCTAACTTAAAACAACATTAGATCACCGTTATGCATCCACAGCGGGACGTTGATAGTTATAAAAAAGAAAAAAGAAAGTGTACTTTAGATCCTTAAAAGTCTGAAGCAGAATATAAAGTATCATTTTTGTAAATGTAACTGTTTTATTCGGATTTCCTCCACCGCTTTTTGTTGCTAAAAACACTTCGGCCAGACTCTATTTGAAAATCTCTTTAATTGGTACACACGGCAAATGTAAATTTAAACTCAGATTCACAATCCATTCCAGCAAACATCAAACGATGTCAACATTGACTGATTTCAGAAAATGTATTATTGTAAATCTGAAGAGACACAGGAACTGCAGTTAGCTTCATTTTAGCATCAAGTGTGCCACCAGAACAATCGACTGGAACACGTTACAATCACTATTACACAAAATCTCTCATATTAAACAGGCCAAATGCAGGCAGAATTAACATTCATTATGCTATAACATAATAAATCATAAAATCACGTCTTAACATTTACGTACCTCGGAGGAGAATCCAGATTATTTTAAATGAAGCAAATTTAAGGCGAAGTTTGGCTTGATCTTTTCTTTGGTTTCAGCACCATGAAAGTGAACCGTCACCACCCAGAAACAGAATTGCACTTTTTTAGATCCATGAATCTTCAGAGCACAAAGCTGCTCTTCCGTCTTATTGTGAAAACTAAATGTTTATAACAACAAAGAGAAAGAAAACTCTCTTCCTGCTCTGTTTTTCCTCCTGACAGTCATGTGATGAGCTAACGTATAACGCAGCCGCACACTGCGCGACCTGCGCGCCCTCTATCGGTCAGCACGTCTCAATACACCTGTGCCGGATATACCAGCTGTTACCTGCAAAAATGTTACAAAGAATGTAGCATTTTTGTGTGTGTTTTCCTCTCTAAATGTCACCCCTTCTAGTAGTTAAAAGTGGTGTACGTGCTGGAGTAAAAAGACAGCTGTTAAAAGTGTTAAAAGCAACTGAAAAATAAAATCACAGTTATTTCGTCTTTTATATATGTGTCTTTAATATCCGAAAATTACTAACGTATGACTTTAAAGTGAAAATTTAGGACTTTTTCTTTATAACCTCTGTAAGTTACATTTTTTTCCTCTTAAATGTACACCGTTAAGATGAGAAAGTAATATTTGTATAATCAATATTTTACAATATTTAAAAATATATATATTTTAAAAAAAATATAGATAGATAGATAGATAGAGAGAGAGGGAGAATGAGAGAGAGAGAGGGAGAACACTTGAAGGAAAAACAGGAAATAAAAACGAAAGCATGAAAACAAATAATTAAAAACATTTAAAATGTAAAATATGTATGCATTTTAATAACCACAAAACCTATTAAGCAAACGCATACGCAGGGGGTCACGCGGTTACCGTGGTAACACGCTAAGCAACGCAGAGCTAATACCATAGCAACGCGTAAACAATAAGCTCCGAGGCGAAGGGGAGAAAATGTCAGACACAAGACGAGGAGCGGAGGAAGTGGAGGAGAGGAGCAGTGCTGAGGAGGACGAAGAGGAGGAGAAGTCTGAGGAGGCTCTCTCCTCCTCAGCAGCTCCCAAGAGAAATTCTGAACCGCCACAAGCGCAAACTCTGTCTAACATCCCCGAGGCGGTGGACGACTTCCTGAGGAACTTCTTGCGCAGAGCCGGCCTGACGCGGACTCTGAGCCGCTTCGAGGTGGAGTGGTACGGCTCGGCGCTCAGGCGCCTCACAGACACCCTGAACACCGTAGCCACGGCGGCCCCGGGGGTCTACTTCATCCCCGATGCTCTCACACACCGACGCCTCCTCCAGAGCGAGCTGGAGGCGGTGCGCGCAGAGACGGAGCTGCTCAGGGAGGAGGTGCTGGGTGCAGGAGCGAGCCTAGTGAGGATACAGAGGGAGCGGGACTTTCACCGGCTGCAGCACCAGCGAGTCTCCGAGGACAAAAGGAGGCTCACAGAGGACTTCAAACAACTGAAGAAACATCTGCAGTCGTACGACCCCGTGCTCAGGCAGCTGGAGGAGAAATACCAAACAGCTGTCAGGCAGAAGATGCTCCTCAGCTTCCACAGAGAGAGACTGCAAAGCAGCACAGACCCTACACCAGCGCAGGTGAAGGAGGAGAGGAGGAAGGAGAAACCACCAGCAAAGACCACTGCACGCCTGAAGGACTCAGAGTTCCCCCCCTGCAGTGGGCTCCCAAGGGCCTACCTGGAACAAATGAACTCTCACACAGGGAAAAGCTTCGCATCTTTCAGCCTCGCATGCTCTATAAGAGCGCATCAGAAGCCAATCAGCTGCATCGACCTGCATCCAAGAAAACTGATCCTTGTCTCGGCCAGTGATGACAGCACCTGGAGATTGTGGGTTCTCCCAGAAGAAAGAGAAAAGGTGAGAGGAGGTGAAAGCTCTAAGAGGAGGTGGGGAGGTGACATGTGAGGGTCACTCTGATTGGATGATGCACTGACGTGTGATGTCACCTACTGTGTTGCCAGGTGGGTGAGATGCTGCTGACCGGTGAGGGTCACTCTGATTGGCTGTCCGGTTGTAGCTTTCACCCTGATGGATCAAAATTAGCGACAACCAGCGGAGACATGACAGTAAGTTGGTCCTGATGACAACACAGAATAAACCCACCTCATTAGTTACAGATGTGTACTTCTTCCTGCAGGTGCGACTCTGGGACTTCTCTCGTGGCTGCTGTGTGCTGACGCTCTCTGGCCATGCCCAGCCCACCTGGGCATGCTCCTTTCACTCATGTGGTCACTTCCTGGCCTCCTGCTCCGCTGACAGAACCGCCAAGCTGTGGGACCTGAACAGCCAGCGCTGTCGCCTCACACTGCGCCAACACACCGCCTCCGTCAACAGCGTCTGCTTCCTACCTTCCTCCAACCTCCTCCTCACCTGCTCCGCTGACAAAACCATCGCCCTGTGGGATGCCAGGCTAGGTGTCTGCACCACCACCTTTCTTGGACATTATCACCCCTGCAACCATGCTGCCTTCAGCTCAGCGACCAGCATGGTGGCCTCCTGTGACTCTTCCGGCATCGTTAACACGTGGGACATGAGAAAACCCACATCGCCGATGGCCGCTGGAGACACCGGGCCGCTTAGTGCCAACCAAGTGGCGTTCAACCACTCAGGGAAGATGCTGGCGGTTGCCAGCAGCGACGGTTTGGTGAAACTGGTGGAGGTAGACTCTGGCAGTGTGAGCAGCTTGGAGGGCCACAGGGACAGTGTGCAGAGTGTGACCTTTGACCACAAGGGGGAGACTGTGATCTCGGCAGGGAGTGATGGGAGGGTTAACATCTGGTCGTAACATAAGATTTCTGATTGAGTAGTGATCGATATCTGAGATTGACGTGAAATTTTAGTTGTATTCATCAAAGAAGTGACACCATGGAGGTTGTAAACCAAAACATGTTTAATGAGAGCTGTGCAAAGCCAAGCCAAGCAGCTAGAAGCACACATTAAACATTTAACATCAAGTGTCTTCTTCACCCCGAGGTGAATAAAAATACTTCCTGTATCAGAGGGTTAAAGTTCCTCTGTGCCAGTATGAGTCCTGTCATCCTGAGGATGGAGGAAACACCATCTGGTTTCATGTCTTTGATGTTTGAAAAGTGAAACTGATGCAGTACTATGAACCTGCATTCTTTCTAATGACCCAGCAGGGGGCAACTCCTCTGAACAACTTTGAGTGAAATGGTCTTTATCTGACTTACAAATACAATCAATTGAATGTTATCAGAGTATAATTTAGCATGTATATATATATATAGAGAGAGTAAGTCTCATGGTCTCATGTGACAGTCTTCATTTATGCTTTTTTCCCCAGCTCTTCTTCTGTCTGCTAACAGTTTTTGGGTTTCCATTTGGGTGGAGCTACAAATTGGCATCCTTTTTTTTTTTAAAAAGCCATATCTGACAATTGTAATTTTTATTCAGTTATGACACACATGTACCGCGTCAAACTTTTCCCCCCCTCTGCAAACCCCCCCCCAAAAAAAACCAACTCAAGCAAAAGAGACAAAAAACATTTCTTCAAATCTTTCTGCTTCTTTTTTTGTTAGTTTCTATGATATTCGACAAAATCAGCAAAGGTTGTTAATTTTGGTGACTTTTAACGTTCCCTGATAAAAAATGCTGTGCAGTCCCAGATAAAGATAGACATCTGAACACCCTGGTCCCCCCAACCCATGGCTCAATACTTCACTTTTCAATCCACGAGTCTTGAGTCTTCAGAAATTCAGAAAATCGGACTGGATTGTCACAGTAGTACATGTTGTGCTTCCACGTGTACATCTTTTCTACAGCAAAGGCAATTTATTGTAGTTTTACCTGCAAGGAACTGAAAAGCTATCACTGACAACAGCACTGATGATCTTTCTTCCCTCTGGCTGAACACTGCCCGGTAACCTCTTCATTTTCAACAGGAATGAGTGTGTGTAAATCTTTATGGCACCAACAGTCTGTCTACAAACAGAATGAAACCCATCAATACAAAACGGTCTGTGCACCAACAAGCATCAAGCCCATCCATCCATACTGTTGCATTCACAAACCCCTGAGACACATTCAAAATATAAAAGATGTGGCATGTTTTTCTCGTCTCGGAGTCTGTCCTTCACGTTTTCTTCTCTTCTTTTAAATTATCGCTGTGTTCTGACTCTTCCTCAGAGTCTGAGAAAGAGAACAGTCCAGGAAACTTCCTGACTCTAAAGGTTTAGGGTATAGTTTAAACTGAGTTGTATTAGTGTTTAAAAAAATTGCACTTTCTTATAAAAAAAAAATACACAAACACAGTGCAGATACTATTGAGGCTTTTGGCACAGCGAGCTTCCTTTGAATGTTCAGTTTCTGGAGGGTTCCTGCTGAGAACAGACCAGTCTGTCGACAGATGAGGACGAGTAGCGCCCCTCGTCGTCGTCCTTCTCTTCCTCTGTCGCTCTGTGTTTCTGTCTGGGTTCTTCCACCAGCATCTTCAGGCGGTTCAGATGATGCAGAGCTCTGAGGAGGAAAAACATGCATGCTTTACTCACCCTAAACTGGAGTCAAACTGATGTACATACTGTGGTGGTGGATGAAGATGCGTTTAATGTCACCCAAGTTTTTGAAATCTTGTTTTTGAACTATTGGGCTTAGAAGAAGAGGGTGAGGATGAGGAAGAGGAGACCCTATGGGAATGAAAGTGCAGGTGTGTTCTCCATGGATGAGGACTCTGTTTCTCGGGACTGTGAGCCACCACCACCTCAGCTTTCTGAATGCCAACATGAGAACTGAGGGCTCTGAAGGACACCGGATGACTTGTCAGTCACTAACTTACATCCTGTTTTATGATCCTTCTTTTACTTCAAATGTAATAATCACTAGGGCTGTTCCAATATAACGATATATATCGGGTGACGATATAAAAACGTCTATCATTTCATATTGCGGAAAAATATAATGTTTATGGCAATATTTTTTCATCGTTTTGATGGTCATTGTAGTGGTTATATTAATTTGTTAAAGTTCTCTCTTTCCCTTATATTTAATATAACCACACTACGGACGGACAAGCGACTGTTTTTACACGTTGTCGTTAGCAACCACGACGGTAAAACAATGGCGTGGCTCCGCCGTCCGCTTGTTTGTTTTGCATATTAACCCTTCCACAATAAAGCTCAAGATCCTGTTGAGACTTTTCAAAATAAACTAAATCCCGTGAAAGAGTATGGAGTGTTTACGGATGAGAAGCAAAAAAGAGCCGCCAGGTGCTAAAAAATAAACCTTAGACTCAAACGTTAGAACAGGCTTTTCCCCGCAGCACGCCGTGTAATAAATACTCACAAAGAAAACGCGGCCGTTACAACTTATGTCTAAAAATGTATAAATTCATGCATCGGCTAATAGTCATAACTCCAGGTACATGACGCCCAGCTGAAAGCACTTCATGCAAGTCGAGCTGCCCGAGATTCACAGAATTTACAGAAAATGTTACATTTTTGTGATTTATATCGTTATCGGAATGATAGATGTCTTATATCGGGATATGAGATTTTGGTCTTATCACACAGCCCTAATAATCACATTTGACTCAGTAAGACTTTAAACTAGCAACAGAGACCATAAACTCATCGTGAAAGTGTTTACTAATGCTGGGCATACACTGTGCGATTTTTGGCTCATTTTGAGCCGATTTTTCAGTCATGCGACCGTTTTGGGGATCGGCCCGAGTTTCGCCTTCATCGTGTGTCGTGCATCGCGTAGTATACGTGGGGTAACAGAAGCGATTAACACCTCACGACCAGCTCCCAAATAATCAATCGCTTGGTCGTAAGAAAATCAAACCTGTTTGAAATCCTGTCGGCTGTCGTGAGGGTGTCACCGCAGCCTCTCACACTGCGCACGCACAAACACAGAAATGAAAGTGAAAAGACAGAGTAGCACAACAGTGCAGCGTGTGATCTGGACACAAGCGATGGAGACACAACTTGTAGAACTTTGGAAAGCTCATCCGAGCCTTTTCGATGTGGCCTCACAAAATTATCACGACCACAACAACTGTGAAAATAATTGGATGGACATTGCTGATCAATCCCAGCTGCCTTATCAATGTTTTTCATTAGCAATTTAGCAAAATTGACGGTGGTGGTGTGCGTGTCTGTGTGAGTGAAAGACAGAGAGAGCGAGTGAGCGACAGACTTTCTGTTATAACCTTCATATTATGGACGCACACTCTGAGTACTCAGGTCGCATCAGAGCATAGAGACCCTGCAACGTGACCTACGAACTTCTAACCCCTGCGAGTCAGTCGTGCAGTTTGAGCAGGAGCTGAATAACGCAAAATCCCACAGTGTTTGCCCAGCTTAAGGTAACAGGTCAAGTAAGATGTTGGGTCACTTTCTCATAGACTTCTACAGACTCTGACTTGTTTCAACAGCCATAGATGTTGCCCCCTGCTGGCCATCGGAAAAACGCAGGATTCACACCGAGAAGCTGACTGTCTTTTATCTAAAATCTGAAAGTAGAACAAAAGGACTTATCTTGGAGTTTTCAAAAATACATTTTAATTTATCCATCCATCCATTCACTTCCGCTTATCCTTTTCAGGGTCGCGGGGGGCGCTGGAGCCTATCCCAGCTGTCATAGGGCGAGAGGCGGGGTACACCCTGGACAGGTCGCCAGTCTGTCGCAGGGCCAACACACAGGGACAGACAACCATTCGCACTCACATTCACACCTAGTGACAATTTGGATTATCCAATTAACCTATCCCCACAAGCTGCATGTCTTTGGACGGTGGGAGGAAGCCGGAGTACCCGGAGGGAACCCACGCAAACACGGGGAGAACATGCAAACTCCACACAGAAAGACCCCGGCCTGATGATGGAATTGAACTCAGGACCTTCTTGCTGTGCGGCAACAGTGCTAACCACCGTGCTGCTCATTTTAATTTATTATTATCATCATCATCATCATCATCATCATCATCATCATCATCATCATCATCAGTAGTAGTAGTAGTAGTAGTAGTAGTAGTAGTAGTATTGCTTTGCATCACCAGTGGTTATTCGGCACATACTCACTATGAGTTACTAAATGTCACTGAGTTTCTAGTTGCTGGCTGCCACATCATTGCTAGTTGTTTCCTGTGTGGACCCCCCTTTGCCTTACAAGACAGGATGGCATTTGATTTCTTGACATAGTTTCTAGTGACATTTTGAGTAAAATAATGCTTTTAATTTTTGCCTGAAGCAAAAGTGGTGTCTTTGATGCAGTTGTCTTTAAACTGTAAGCACAGGTTATCAGTCCAGTCTCCACATTCTTTCTAAAAGGGATAAATAACTTGATCGGAGTCAGTTACCTCTCTAGTGATGGTCTACCAGGAAAACTCTGAAGCTCTTGCAGCTCCTGCAGCTCTGCGTTACCAACAGACCACTGCAACACAAACAGACTCTTAATAATTTAAATCTTGTTTCCTTAAACGTTAAACTCAGACACAGATTAGCATTTTATTATCCACTTTTTCTAAAGATCTGTATCAAGCCAGCCTGGCTCCTTGTACCTGTGTTGCTGATGTCAGCAGCCACTCTGAGAGAGTCAGAGCTGCTGGAGGCTGCTGTTGTCGCTGAAGCTCCGCCTCCACAGCCTGCAGTCTGAACAGCATCTGTTTCAGAGCCTCCACCGGACCAGGCTGCTTCCAGATGCTGTTTTCATGACTCAAATCCTGGGAGAGCACAAACAAGAGGGGGATATTACAAACAACACTAGCTTCAGAAACAACTGTTTTGCCAGTAGATGTAGAGAAGGCCTTCAACTGAGTTGAATAGCACTCATTTGTTCTGCCTTAGGAAAAAAAAAACCTGACAACTGGGCTGATCTGGTTTGTAAAAACCGAATAGGCTATCACAAATATTCTGCAACACATGTATGATCACACCAGCGAATCAACTGAATAACAGTGGGACACAATGAGCACAAGCTAATACTGTATACAGATTATGTGATACTTGTTTATTACAAAATTACACAAGTTAGCTCAAGTTATTACAATAAAACCGAAGCAATCAACACAACTACTTTTTACATGAGAAGGGCCACAACTTTTGAAATATTACAGTTTAATTTGGTAGAAAAAAATCACATATTTAGAGACACAAATTGTGCCAATGATGGAATATGGTTAAGTTCTCATAGTTATGTGACGAAAAATATTTACAACCGATCCAAAACAGAAACTCAGAATTTACTTTATAAGACCCCCAGTGCTAAACGTATATTTAATAGGTAAATTATTGTGTTTAAAAAGAAAAAACGAATATTGCCTAAAAAGCCTTTAAATTCAACCAGTCTAATGTGAATACAAAGAAAAACTACTGTAGTGAGTCAAACAGGCTCACTGCAGTAGGAGGCCTTGTCCACTGACCTGAAAGGTTAATGTGTTTCACATCTGGGCATCACTCAGGAGACGAGAATAAATGAAAATCACACAATTAGCTGACATTGTAGAACATGACAGTAAACCTACCTCTGCTCCCCTGTCAGTCAGCTCCTCTGTGCAGCCTCCTGTTGCTGAGTCTCTGCAGGGTTAAAATGCCACCACATATATGAGTCTGCATGGAGTTGCAGCAGATCATAACACACCAGAAGTGTAAATGAGTCTTACTCACAGAGGACAGTGTGAGGGAGAATGGTGCAGCAGCTCCTCAGTTTTCACAGGACTCACTGACAACAAAAGAAACAAAGAACTGATCGGATACCTGCTTCATTTCCAGCTTGTTGGTAATAAGTTAAAGTCTGCTTAAACAGTCACAACGAGAACCAGACACAGCTGTGCTTTAAAAAAACAACAACAACAAAAACTTTGGTATAAGTGTTATTCAGTGTAAAAGACTTCCTGCTCCTTTGAATGAATCCCGGTTTTACCTGGATCTGCAGGACTCTCTGCTTGTCCAGGACTCCGAGACAGAGAGTTTAACACCTGGTCCGCCTTCTGGATCAGAGACTCGATCCTGTTGTCTGACAGGTGGGAACACACATCAGAAACAAGTTTAGCAAAAAACAAAAACAACAACAAAAAAGAGAAAAGTTTAAAAGAGTGAAAGGTTGTCATAGGAGGTGTGGTTGAAAGGGGAAAAATAAGAAAATAAGACTATATGAATTGAATTTGGCCAGTCTCATGTTCAAGAGGATCTTCTCTTGTACCTCTTGACCACTTTCTGTACAGCTGCTAGTTTTAGATCTCTGTTTAGTCCCAAGTTCCAGAATTGAGTCAGTCCCCAACAGTTCTCTGACCTGAACATCTGAACCCTGTTTGTGCTGCTGGAGCCTTTTGGAGCATCTAATATGGCTGCTGTGCAGTTAATTGTATGAACAGATTGTCTAAGAACACTGGGGTCTAGTGAAGGTGAGTGAAGGATTGAATTTGGGTGTTACTTGGCACTAATTAGCAGCCATCTCCGTCAGTGTGTGTGATGCACTCATACACTGATATCTGAAATGTGGTGACTTCAGGCTCTAAAGACAATATGTTGGCATCTGAAGCAATAACACCTTCAGAATACAGAATCCAAAACCAGTTAGTGATGTCATTGTGATTATGGCCTTCCGTGATATGCAATCAATGAGTAAAGAATGACTAAACAATATTCAACAGTGCAATAATCCAATGTAATGTATTTTTTTCGTCGACTCTAGGATTAGTTTGTTTTTCAGAGCTGAGTATTGTCTGTTATTAGTCCATCTATCCATCAGCCCAAGCAAAGAAGCCCAGTCATTTTAACTCTTTGCTTTACATGATTTTAAACTTTTTAATGACCTGCAGGAACCCTGTTTTGCCTCTGTGATGGTCACTGGGTCTCTTTTGTGCGTCAAAGCAGTAAACCTTTAACTGTACTTTAACTTTAATTTATATTTTCTGAAAGTCACACGAATAGAGATCTGAAAGTTATGTTTGTGGTGATTTACAGAGAACAATTCCGGACCTATTTTGTTTACACCTCGAATTTTTAACATTACATACTCAAACACTTGTGTTTTTACCTTGGTACATGTTCATCACAACGTCTGAGCTCTTCCTCTCTGTAGTGAGCAAAGAAATCTGTTCAGCAAACTGAAGCCTCAGGTCTCTGAGCGCCTGCTGGCTGCCAACCTAAGCAGACACAGAGAAAACCTATTACTTCATCAAGTGACCGATGAAGCTCTTTTTCTGCCTTTGGGACACACATGTGACAGAATGTGGTTTATTTAGAGCACTTGACCACATCATAAGGCGTTCTTTAACACACAAAGAGTCCAGAGGAAAGCACAGTTCCACAGAAGCTCTACAGTCTTCCTGAACAATGAGAGCAGCAGGACCATACAACTGACAGTTGCGCTGCAGCTGTTTCTCTCACCTCTGCAGGTGTCTGGTCAGGATCTTCATCTTTCTCCAGGTCTGCTACCCAGGATGGAGCTCTGGTTCTGGAAGCTCCAGGTGGAAGAACGTCTGGAAAAAACAAATATGACCCTTTCAAATAAACAGAAAATAGTCATCGTTTAATGGTGAAATTACTTCCCTGGGATAGACTCCACCCACCCAGTCCAATATCAAATTCAACATTTCCCCTCACTAGATCAGTTTTACTGACCTCCAAGAAAAGCTCATATTTATGACTCTACACACTGATGGGCTGCTTAATATAAAATAATAAAGAATAACCTATTAATAGATTTATCTTTAACATTAATAATCACAATCTGTTAAATGATGATGAAATACTATGACATCTTGGAAGGTTTGTGCATATGTAGTCGAGGAAGCTACCGTGGTCGTCCCACAGATCTGACTGTGCAGGCGGCTCGCTGAGGTCACACCCCTGGAGCCATGCTGGGTACTTCAGGTCGGGCACACTGGTGATTCCCGAACAGTCCAAGTCAGCCTTGTTACTGGTGAACCAGTGAGGGAGGTGGAGCGACGAGGATACCGGGGCCTGCTCTGATCTCTGAAAAGGGGAAGCAACTGTGTTTATGACACTGCTACAGTCTCAGAATAATCCAGAAAAGACAGTGAGGGTCACCTTAAAACTGCTGATGTGAGCACCTGGTTTAAAAGTGGTGGCCCTCGGCCTGTCTCTGCACCTAGGGAGGAGGGGAAAGTAATAACCTGTAACTCAGATCGACCAGGAAATATGCCTGGTCGATCTGAACGAGAAAGGAAGCAGTTCAAACCTGGAGCTCCTGGACGTCGTCGGTGGAAGAGAGTGATGGTGGAGGAGTCTACAGGTAGATGAGGGGCAGGGCTGGGAGGCTGCAGGCCAGGACAGGAGGTCTGGACCAGCAGAGGAGAGGAGTGAGGCAAAAGTCATCACTTCTGTTATTACTGTACATATATTTATTAGTTTCAGATGTAGCCATTCTTGTATTTTGCTTGTTTACATTCTTGTATTTTGCTTGTTTACATTATTGTATTTTGCACAACTCTGTTGCTTGTGAAGCTCGCACACAAGAATTTCACTCACATGTGCTGTACCAATGTACCTGCACATGTGATGTGACAATAAAAGTGATTTGATTTGATTTTACTGAATCATCTATGGATTATTTAACGTTGATTATAGAGTCTGAGCTGCAGAAGTTATGCGTTTAAAGGCAGATGCCAGGATGTTTTTAGGTAAAAGTGGTGGATTTAATGACATGAATGAAGACTACATTGTAGATGTTTTTAATGAACTGGTATAAGAGCAGATTCTTGATTGTCACATTTAAAAACTTCAGACTGAGAAAAATGGTGAGGGATGCATTTACTTCCAGCTCCACATTTTCAGTCTTGGACTCTATGAAATCACAGATCCCTACTCTTACTGACATCATACAGATCAAAGAAAACTAAAAAATGTACAAACACGTGTTTAAGGGTTTAAAGGTTGAGTATGAAATGTGTAAAAACCTTGGATGAAGGCAGTGGTGTGGGTGATGGGCATCGAGCCGTCGAAAGGGACGGACAGCAGTTCATCTGTTGTCATGGAGTGTCTGTCCCAGTTAACGCGGTGACGGAGGGGGCTCACGGGGAGGTTCAGGAAGTCTAGCTCTCTCTCGGTCAAACGCTCCCTAAGAACTGAAACAAAAAGAGAAAAATGCAATGTAGATGAATCACTCAGATAACATAAAACCACAGAAGACATAAAAAGCACCAAGATATATCAACGTTATAAGATACCTGACCCTCAGCAGGACCTACCATCTTTGTTTCTGAGCGTGCCCACTCTGTGCCTGCACGGAGTGGAGGGTAGGTTCTGTGGCAGAACCAGCTTTCCAGTTAACGACGAGTCACGGTTCTGACGACTCCTCTCAAAGTCTTTGATGTAAGCGTCCAGAGCCGCCGAAGCCGAGTCATACTCCTGCAATCAGACAGTAGTGTAGGCTTCCTGTTTTAAAATCCTCATCACTAAAGTTTTTGATAAGAAAAGAACAACAAATTTCAGACTTTTTAAAAATGTTTTCCCTCTCACATAAACGTTTGAGTTATCTCTCATACACCTCTCACAGACTTCCTCATGAACTTCACATGAATTTACTCTTTTCTTTTAAAACAAATTCACATATTTTTTTCTGAATTTACCAGTTTTTCCTCAATGTTTTACTGGAAAATGAAACAATTTTAAACTCTGTCACAATCAAAAAGAGAACATCATCATTTGTCAGGAGAGAAGCTCTCCTGATAACACCCAGAACAGAACCCAGAATCAGATAAAATAACAAAGGGAGATTTCTTCATTCTGTCCATTCCTGCTGTGGAAAGTAATCCCACCCACTCTGTCTTTGTATCTGAAGCTGGTGTCGTGTTGAGGAGGCAGCAGGCTGCTCCTCAGGTAACCTGAACTGGATAGTAGGGAGGTCACCGTGGACTCTGGTGACAGAGAGTGGCCCAATTGACCGCAGTACTCCATGCTGTCAAAAAACAAGAAGAGTACATTTTAACTCGCTAAACGTCGAGGGAATAATGGTTAAAATGTTTACAGAGGTGTTAAAACTGTTATCAGCATTTGTTTATTCACAGCTGACATGCCCAATCAGAGCCATGCCAGCTGTGATTTAAACCTTCCACAAGTAGGCGTGGAGCTACCTGTGCAAAAGCAGCTGTTTGAGACGTTAGAAAGCTAACCACCTTGCGGAGTATATGTCAGGTTGTTGTCAGTGATAGCTTTGCCGGTTTTCTCTTTAAACGGGACAGTAAAGGGCTTTCTTTAGACTGCGTTTGTTTGCTAGCTTGCCTTTAGCCGAGCTCTGAGCTATGCAGCAAAAAACCCCCAAAAACATCGAACAAAAAATAAACTAAACAGACCGTTACATGGCAGATTTAAACCCCATACGTACAGCAACAGTTTAGTGTTTATACAGAGTTTATAACGTGATACACAAATGTTTCTGGCTCAACGTACTCACAAATGTCGCAAAAGTTTTCTCACTGATGTTAAAGTTCAACTTAGCAGCGCTGCTAGGGTGTAAACGGAAATCTGAACCAGGCACTTCCTCAAACTTCCGGAATCTTTATCAAATAAAACAAATATAAAACACTCATACTTCTACTCCGAAATGCCTCCTTTTCACTGTACTGCGTGCCCAACCCTTTTGCGTACACTGACGCTTGCAAATTCAAAGGATCCCGGGTAAAGCTAGCTCACAGTTAGCCGGAGCCACTTCCGGTACCCGGCAGACGCTGCCACCAAACTCCGTTAAAAGAATCTGGTCATTAATAATAATCATAGTATCGGTACACACATGCTTCATATATAAGTACGGTTTACACAGTTAAGGTGTGTTATGATCTTAAGAAAGTTTCGGTGTCTGTTACAGACAGATTAATATGTTTAACTACCGCCATCAGTCGCTTATCGCGATGCAGAAACATGGTATACATGAGTGAAAGAGCAAATAAAGTTTACATTATATTAGAACGCATAATCGTTTGTGTGTGTAAGGTATGCCGAATTTAAAGATGAACTCCGTTGAGTTATGAAAACAAGTCCACGTGAATGCCCCCAAAAAAGAGAGAAAAATTGTCTTGTTTTATTTCTAAAATTCAATTGTAAGCAATTATTGCACTGACGACAGTATAATGATTTGGTGTCACCGGAATTATTATTATTCCCCTTCTTCCGTCTCTGAGTGCGCCACAGTGTCTGAGGAGGTGTTAGTGAGAGCAGAGAAAGGACAGGAGACACTGTTGAGACTGGAAAAACAGCGGTCAAGACTCCCACACAGAGCTGAAATGTGTGTGTGGGGGGGATTATATACAGTTTAATGTTGGGATTAAATTATTAAATTGAGATAATTGTGATAATCTACCCACCACCACCCACCAACCCACACACAAGAGTTGAAAAGACAATATTAACACGACACAACAAGAGTAATAAAAATAATAATAAACTAATAAAGCTTTCGAATATCACGGGTAGCAGGACTTAATTCCTTCAGATAACTTATTAATGTGTTGTTAATTTACTGGACTAATTAAAGTACATCTAGCATATAACCATTTTAAAAACATCATGCTCATTTTTTGTTTAAAAAACCATTTTGTTGAAATTCACCAATTTATTTATTTATTTATTTATTTATTTATTTATTTGTGTATTTATTTCGGGGGGCACCATTAATTTATACTAAAAGGCTGCATATTTAACACCCTGTTTGTTCTGTCCTGTGATAACTTCATAAGCAGAAGGGCACGTCTTCCTTTTCATCACTACTGGTTTAGTTACATTGTAAAAAACCGTTTTTACAAAAAAATCCGCTTTCACTTCTTTCTCAGAGAGAACTGTAGGTTAGCCATGTTGGGACGACCAAGTATTTTTCCGGGGTTCCTGTCTCTGCTGCAGGCCCCTTTAACCCAGAGTTTGTGACGTCAGTGAGCCAGGAGGTGTGGGGATGTTGAATAACACAGAAAGAGGGATCACTCCCCCTGAAACTGCAGGCACCAGAAAGCACCAGCATAACATGTCGACACAAACTTATCGCATAGACGAAAATATAAGGCCATCTGGGAAATTAAAAAACAAACAAAAAAAAACAACACGACAAAAAACAAGTGTAAGCAGAGGTATTTTCCTCTTAAAAGGAGTTCTTCCTCCCTATTTGTTGCCAAATACCACTCATCAGAAATCATCTGATTTTTGTGTTCTGGCACCAATCGGGGTTGGTGCCAAAAGACGTGGATAGGGTAGATAACCAACTTTTTTGCCTCTTAGTGGACCAACCAGAGGACAGAAAAAAAGAGGACAGAGGACACAGAGTAGAGAACGGAGCGATAGGATGGGATAACTGTAAAGTCTGAAAAGCACAGAGTGTGTTTGCAGTGACACTTTTCATAGTTTTTAACACTCACTGCATGCCTGCCCCTCTCTCTGCTCGACCATGAAACAGTTCCAGATGTCTGTGATTCATTTTTGGGGAGTGAATGTCTATAGTCTAAAATGTGGAATCAAAAATCAGTGGCTACCTCCATCTTTAATATGCAGTCTATTGTACTCCCATAGTGTCATGGTCGATTAAGTTGATCAGACCTTGCAAATATTGGGTTATATGTTTCCATGACGAATTCAGTTCATGGTTGTTTATTTATTTATCTATTTTTGCAAAAAAAAAAATATGACTTTCAAATAATATTCAATTTTATTTTGAAAACAATAATTTATTATTATTATTATTATTATTATTATTATTATTATGCAAACTTTTACAGGTTTATTCATACCTCAGACTATAGATTGATAGAGTCTGTTTCACCTAAACTAACACCGAGTGAGTGTTCTGATCTCAAGACGATCTCTGGGGGAGTGTGTCTGTGCGTGTGAGCGTGCGCGTCTGAGTTTAATCGCGGTGTGTGTGTGTGTGTGTGTGTGTGTGTGTGTGTGTGTGTGTGTGTGTGTGTGTGTGTGTGTGTGTGTGTGTGTGTGTGTGTGTGATATCTCAGACGTCACAGCCTGCCGTTGGTCCAGTTCAGTTCAGTTCAGTTCACTTTAGATCAGATCGGATCCCCGGATGAGCCGTTGCTTCTCTCAGGAGGTAAACTGAAGTAAACCCGGACCTGGAGGCGGTTTAACCCGGAACAGCCCGAACCGGAACACTGTGTTTGTTTCTGTTCGACCCAAAATAAGCAGCATAAACAAGCAGGGCGGAGGGAGTGTGAGAGCCACCGTTAACGTAACGTCCGTGACGTCGCTCCGCTGGTTTTTCACCAGCACGCCGCGCGTCTGGGGGGTCCACGCCGGGATTTACCAAGTGATCGATTAATCCGACAGGAGCCTGAACCGTGGGATCGGTACACGCGCTATGATGGAGAGAAAGAGGACGGACTGTCCCGCTCTGCCGCCCGGTTGGAAGAAAGAAGAAGTGATCAGGAAGTCCGGGCTGAGCGCCGGAAAGAGCGACGTCTACTACTACAGGTAGCCCATCACACTAATCGATCAGTGGTTACACAGCAAACCGATAATCAGTCAGCAGTTCGGCTGTGGTACCAATGCTGACTCTGGACTGTTTGTGAGCTCACCTCTGTTCACACTCAGTGGACCAACCAGAGGCTCGGCTTCAGTCTGAGAAGTTACAATGTAGTGCACAGTAGCAAAGTAGCCATTCTTTCATTCTTAATAACAGCATTACAACAATGTAACAATGTCTGTATGACCAGAGTTGTGGCAGCAGGGGGCCAAGAACAGCTGGGTGACCGAAGCAAGCCAAACCAAAGTGCTTGAACATTGGTGGGAAGTTCATCCAGATATTGAGATTACAGTGGACACACCTCATACCTCCATAAATGTGCAATAAGAGCAAAAATGAAACCAATAACGAAAGCTAAAAGAAACCCTGCAGTTTCTCTAAAGTCCACCTGAGGCAGACTTTCAGAGTAAGTCAATTTCCATAGACTCCAATATTAAAATGTCTGACTTGAACGTGTTCACAGTTTTCGTTTTTAGAACTTACTCATTTGGGTTTTATCAGGGCTTAAATATAAGTTTCAAGGCCTCACGTTTGTCAGCTCATTTAACTCTTTAAATCGAACCTCTCTATTTATTCTTTTGATCCCATTAATGCCAGTAAATGACAAATAAAATGTCTTTTTTTGTGGTTAATTGTAGTGACAGACCATCCACACACACATACACACAAACTCTAGTTTTGACGAGTGACGTTGTAGCTTTTAGTCAGTTAAATAGAAATAGTAAGCATCTGCTATCTAAATCCCAGAATGTTGATTAATTTAGTCTGACTTTATTAACAATACACTTGCATAACAACCATTGCTTAACAATGAATTGTCATGACCGTTAATGGCCCTGAGTACTATTCACAGAGGTGGCCGTTACCTTTTCACATAAGCTGCCTTCTTGACCTCCTTAAGTAAAAAAGGGGAATGACCATCTTTGAGCCAAAGAGGGAATCTAAGAGGACATCTTTCAGTATTGTTTAGTGCTGTGATTGCAGCCATTCTCCAACTCTCAGTGAGTAGTACTCGTGGTCATTGATTAACTGCTGTGACAATTTGCATATGAATGAGCATGAAACTGATCTGATCTGCTCATTGTTATGCAATGGTGCTGGTTTAGATCGTTATGCAGTTGTACCGTTTTTAAACTGGGGGAAACCTGCAGAATGCTGAGCCTGGAGTCACTTGGAAGAACAAGTTTCTCCCACTGAAAATGTTGGGTTCAAACAGTGTAACCAAGTTAACATTAGCTGGTAAGTTAGCACTCCACTCCTTGACATGTCTAGCTCCAAAAAATCCGAATGGCGGTGGACAAAATTCTAACACTGAACCTGCAAAATATGTCATCCAAAATGGTAAATGGACCTGTTCTTATATAGCACATTTCTACTCTACTTGAGGACCCTCATTTACCCATTCACACCCATACATCTATGCTGTTTTTTATATAAGTGCTTTCTGTCAAACATTTACATTTAGATTGATGGAATTAGTATGCATCATGAATGTTACAACAAAGGTGGACGATATGCCTGGTGCTCAGTAGTTGACTTTCTGTCAGACTCTGGGACCACGGCGTTGCATTTTGTAGCCATTTCCATTGTTGCTGTGTTTTCTGGGGCTTTTTTTATATTACAAATTTCCTTTTTGATTTCAGTGAATGAGACACTCTCCTAACTCATTGAGTGTCGGCACAGACTAGCCAATCGTTGGCCTGCAGTTTGACGACATCACATTTCAGTACCTACTTGGTTCGCCTTGGAACCCCGGCCGAGCAGGTCTATTTGAGTAGAAACTAATGGAAAAGGGGCTATAGTGGTCACCTTTGATATACAGTCGATGTATAAATTGTTTTTGTAACTGTTTCTTTATCAACCTTAAGGAGAGTCTGAATCTGAAAATGTATCATGGTGTCTCGCTTCAGTGCCACTTGTACATCTATTTAACGTCTCCTGACAGCCACATGACTCCCTTATTGACATATGCTGGGTAAAGAACAGCATGTTGCACTGATACCAGCGGGCATCGTGTAAAGCTATTATCTCCAAATGCTGTACAGTAAGATAACCACTCATTCTAGCTGGGTTAGGCCTCTCTCCTGATGTTGTCAGAGGCAAACTACTGTTGGAAATGTCCATAATACTGAGGATCCTGTCCCTGTGCCCAGACAGCCAACCGTCTGCTTCATAAAGCTGGGAAACGTAAAGCTGGGTGTGCCATTTGTGCTGCTGTTGCCTGAGTTAGCTGGAAGAGACTGTGGAAGTTTCACTTCAACTTTCTATAATAGCTTTTTAAATAGCCTTGAAGACAAGCACAGCAGCTGTGACAGAACTGTGTCCTGTTCAAATAATAGACTGCAAGATGAATTTTACTTTCTGTGTTTTGTGTAAAGCACATTTAAACACAGCTTTCATGGACCATAGTGTTGTATGAAGTATGTACATTCATATACACACTCATGTCATTACATGAAAAAGTAAAAATGGACACAGAATACAGAATTATCAAGCACCAGCACCCAGCAGTGAGCTGGGGAGGTCTGGGAGTAAAGGTGGATTCTGACCTGACTTCAAAGCAGAGATGGAGGTCACCTTTTACAGCAGGTAATAACTGATTCCACAAACATGGAGCAGTGCCTGCCAAAGCTCTGTCACCGTTTTGTTTGAGGTGTGACCTTGGGACATGTAAGCGATCTTTACCAGTGGATCTGAAAAATCAGAGGACTTGAATGTAAATGAATGAGGCTGGTGAAGTGGGGCTTTAGAAGAAATCAGTAGGTGATCTCGGGTTTTCCTGGCTCAAAATGGGTCTTTAGGGGTGAGTAGGATCACATACACTTAAAGGCAATGGCTCTGTGTTATCTTACAGAGCACAAATCTCTGCATTTCCCCTGTCACTTAGGCTTCAGTTTTTTTTCCTAATTTGTAATTTCAGTATATTACATTTTGTTTTCGTTTCGCTGTTAGTTTTTCGTTCGCTCTGATTAGTGTAGATTTATTTTGAAGAGGGCGTACATTAAAGGTATTTTCTGTAATTATTCAAATGTAAATATTTCACCACCAGGGGCCAGACCTCAAGAGGCCTGGCTTTTTTCCCATGACGCAAGAGTGCACTCTTTTACCTGGTTAATTAGAAGTTAAAACGAATCCTTGTGCCGTGCGACAGACTGGCGACCTGTCCGGGGTGTGACCTGCCTCTCGCCTTAGGCCCACTGAGATAGGCTCCAGCTCCTCCCGCAATCCCAAATTGACCAAGCAGAAGAGAATGGATGGGTGACTCATTGCACCATCTTGTGGTACAAGTTTGTATTGCATCAAAGTACAGTTCAGCCACAGTTCAGCTTGAGTTTATATCTCTTTTAGCACAACACATAAATGAGTGGGACATAAAAGAGTTACCAAAAATGTGTTGCATAAAGTATTTCTATCATGCTTTTTACTACTGCTACTACTACTAGCAGTGCTCTATGACACTGCAAATTTTACTGTCGCTGTATTTACTGTATTGTCAAGTAAACACAGGGCTGTTCTTGCCAATACCAATACTGATAGTGTTACTTTTAAGCTATAAAAGGTATCTGATCACTAAATCACTGTTATTCTGACTTTCCACCGGAATCAGTTACTAAAACAAAACAGAACACACTTTTTAGCTTTTCGTTTGTTTTCAAACTATGTTTTTTGGACATCTGGGATATAAAAGTGTCTGTCTCTAAAGCACTTTGGGTCACCTTCAGTTGTTTTAATGTGCTGTAGGCTATAAATAATAAAGATGTAACAGTCGATAAGAAAAGGTCAGACATTTTTCATACTACATATTCATTTCCTAAATAAAATACTTTATTTGCTGCATACGGAACATAGAGGATAGAAAGCAAGTATCGACCATATTGGGCTAATATTGATCCAATATCAATACCAGCATATGTATTGATGTTATGAATATTTGGTGGCAGTTTCTTTAAATTCTAGTGATATCCTTTGAGAATTTTTGGATCTTTAGAATGATTTTGAACACAGCTAAAGGTCATGTTAGCTGGAATTATATGGTCACAAAACACACAAATCAGGCATCATTTTGCAAATGCATGTGATTGACATATGAAGGAGGACATGTCCATGCACCCTAATCACAACATCTCTGTGTTGTAGTAAATTATGATAAAAAAATCAGTTGAGAGTGAGATGCAGGGTCACTTCTATTTCACTGTTTCTGCACTTTTCTTGCCCCCCGCGCTTCTTTTATCCAGTAATGTGCATTCAGGCAGGAAAACCTCAGCGTCTGTGTCTCTCTGCCTCAGAAATACTCCTGCCTCAGCTCTTCTCCAGAGCAGATTAAAGTTGAGTTTGGAGCGCTGCTTGTTACGTTTTTCCTTTTTGCTCAGCATTCTGCGTCAGATCGCAGAGGAAGTTGCTCCTGGTGCAGCTCTGCGGCATCGTAGCCTTGCCGCAGAGCCGGTGGCTGTTCTTTACTTCCTGTTGATCTGCACAGCTTGGGCCTGTCACTGTAGCAGCTCAGAGACGTCTGAGCTCCGTCACATCCTGAAGGCTCACTTTCAGTTTGGTTTGAAGTGACTCATCACTTCCAGTAAGAAAACCAGTCACAACAGGTCAGTTTACTGGAAGAGCAGCAACGCCCTGCTGAGGCCTCTACCGGTTTCACAAACTCATGTTTATCAGGACCCTTTTTTTACCCTCCACACCCACACGGAATAATTTCAGGCCATAAGGAAACACAGAGTCTTTCAGTTATAGACTGTATAATATTATCCTGACTAACACTAGAGACACTCGGTGAAATGCTGGAAGAAGAGTAAAACTAACTCTTGCTTCTGTTGCTGCTGCCTATGTAGACACTAAAGCTGGTGCACCAGAAACCCAGGGTACGAGATGGTACAGGTATAATCAGAAAAGGTTTATTCCTAGGCAGACGAGGAGACGCCTCCTGTCCCTGTCTCTTCCCTCCACTGGGTTCGTCACGTCCCAGCCCAGCTTACACTGTGCACTGGAGTCTGTCGCTCGATGCCACCACTTTTATCCCATGGCCAGCCAGTCCACAGTGGATTAAACAATGTTTCCCCAATGTTTCACTGGCTCCCAGTGAAATTCCAGATAAAAACAAACTTGTTCTGCTCACCTTCAAGGCCATAATCTTGCTCCTCACATTTCTAATCTGTTAAGCACTACCTCTTCTGCCTGCTCACTTCGATCCTCTTTTTCTATCCAGCTTGCTGTGCCTCCTTTCCGCCTCAGCACCATGGGAAGCAGAGCTTTTAGCTGCTCTGCTCCCAGGCTATGGAACTCTACCCCCAGATATAAGAAACATTGGTTCTCTCCTCCAGTTTAAATCTCAACTCAAAACCCATCAGTTCAAAGCTGCATATTCATACCAACCCACTGTTTGTTCATTTTATCCTGTGCTTTTGTTTTTATTGTTCTTCATTTTGTCATTGTCCTATTATGTGTTCTATTCTATAGTTAAGTGCCCTTGGGTGTCTTGACAGGGTCTTTATAAATAAAATGTATTATTATTATTGTTGTTATTAGAAAACCACTAAAACATGCAATACAAACATTAGAATAAAACCATGCAAATAAAAACTACACTCACAAATAAACACTAAAATGAAAACATTATTATAAATTAATTATAAAAGACAAATACAAATTTCCACTGTGTGACACCTAAATGAATGTGTCTGTGCTGTTACACACTGGACCTCTACACCTTTGATTACCCTGAGGACACACTCACATGTGTATATGAGGTTTGGTGGCATTCATTGATGCACGGCTCTCTTAAAGTCCTCTATTAAAGCATGTAAGTCAGGTTGAGTTCAGGACTCTCCCTGGACCATTGCAGCACCTCTATTTCTTTCTTTTTAGTCATTCAGTTATAGATTAGCTGCTGTTCTTGGGATCATTGCCTGTTGCATGACCCAGTTTGGGGTCAAGCTGTAGCCGCAGGATAGATGGACGCATTTGACTCTAGATTCCCTTTGTATAGAGAGGAGTTCATGGTCCACTCAGTGAATGTAAGGTGCCCAAATCCTCAGCACTCCGCCGCCGTGCTGACAGTTGGTCTGAGGTGTTTGTACTGATATGCTGTGTTTGCTTTTCTCCAAATATGGTGTTGTGCGCTATGGCCAACCAGCTCCCCTTTGGTCTGGTCTGGTGGTTTGTTCAGATGCAGCTTTGCAAAGCTTAACTGTGCTGCTGTGTTCTTTTAGAGAGAAGAGCCTTCTCCCCTGGCAACCCATCCCAAACAAGTCCTACTCGTTCTCTTTTTTTCTGATTGTGCTGTTATGAACTTTAACATTTAACATGCTGACTGAGGCCTGCGGAGTCTGAGATGTAGCTCTTGGGGTTTTTTTTTGCACTTTCAGTTTGACTTTCAGGTGAATTTGCTGGGATGTCCACTCAATACTGGCGACTGTCTTGAATGTTTTCCACTTGTGAACAAGCTTTCTCACAGTAGAATGAAGGACTTCAGATTGTTTGGAAATGGGATTATAACCAAAGGAACAGGGTTTTTCACTCAGCTACAAACAAAAAGTTCTGTTTAGTATCGCTTTGCATGATTTACAGCTCATAATATTCCATATTTATGTTACAGCCTCTCATCTCCAAAAGTTGATTCTGTTCATCTGGACGTAGTGTTTTCAGTGGGAGAAACGTTTAACCACTCATCCAAGTGACTTCTTCAGTCTCAGCTGACTGCAGGTTTCCCCAATCTTATAAACAGTACATTTGCATAATGACTGAAGAAGTCACTTGGATGAGTGATGAAATGTTTCTCCCACTGAAAACGCTACGTCCAGATGAACAGAATCAACTTTTGGAGATTTACTTACCTGGATATGCATCAAGATGTTTACAGCCTCTCAGTTCATGTTCTGTCTGAATTTTTTTTATCCCTTTAATTCAGCTTTCCTCTCATTGACTCTACCTTACAAACAAACAAACAAACAATAAATAAATACTCTGCAGGTCGGAGGGGTGTTTGTACTCACTTATATTACGTATATCCCCTCTATTTGACATAATACTGAGCGAAGAGTGGAATAAGGAATAAGTCTTAGCTTCCAGCTCACAGGGATTACCTGTACACACACTGACCCCAGGCCATGTTAGGCACTCATCATTGGTAATGTAGTATAGGTTCTCTTTATGATGTTATAAGTATGACTTTTTAATGATAGCGTCCTTTCCATTTTATCCTCCAGTCCTTCAGGAAAGAAGTTCCGGAGTAAGCCCCAGCTGTCCCGTTACCTTGGAAATACAGTGGATCTGGCATGTTTTGACTTTCGCACGGGCAAGATGATGCCCGGAAAACTGCAGAAAAACAAACAGAGATTCCGACATGACCCGCTGAGCATGGCCAAGGTAACCCAGATGGATCACACCTGTGTGGGAGTGACTGTGTGTGTATTGTGCTTTAACAGATTATCAGATTAACAAAACTCTCCCGGCAACAGGTCGAAAGGTCATAGGGTCAGCTAACAAGAACTTTGTGCTTGTTTATCCATCGTGTGAATATACCTGAATCACACAGACTTATTTGCATAGATAAAAACCCAGCAGCTGAACCTCATGTTATTGGAGAGTCAGAGAGAGTGAGAGCGGATTGAGATGATATTCTGTTTGATAGCAGGGTGATTTTGTGTCCTCTGTTTGAGGAAGTAACCTGGTCACATGTGCATAACAAACATCAGATTCCTGATTAAGCTCAGACCTGTTTCTCCACATGCTCAAATACATGATTTCTATGTATTGGGGGAGAATAGGGCCTGCATCCTTTCTGAAATATACACCGGTGGGGTACTTGGATGATGTCTTAGACCTCATAGGCTTCATTTACGCTCCAAATTATCCATGTCGACTCAAAAGCTGACTGTGTGCACGTCCACATGGAAGTGTAATCCCAGCAGTCCTGTTATCAGGGACAGCCTGGGTATATTGACCCGGATGTATCTTGCCCTCCTCGGTTTTACAGCCTTGAGCTTCCTTGGTTTGCTCACTGTTGTCACTTTATTTTTCCCTTTTGCGTATTTTAAGTCTTTTTTTACCTCCATCTCATGGATATTTAGACTCAGATCTTAACCCTGGGAGGGCTAAATTTAAAGTCAGGTAAGGATTTTTAGTTCTGGAAATGTAGAACAAGCCTAATGTTCACACTGAAAAAGCTGGTCATAACCCCTTTATTCATAAATTACTGTCTTTGAGCCTTCTCCTTATTTTGCCTGAGATTTGTTTGGGCATTGTGAAAGTGGGAGAAGTTAGTTAAAATAGTTAGTCAGTAATTAAGGATGAAGTAAGTGGGGTACAGTCAAACGGGCGCTTCTTAAACCATGATGTAAAAATAAAAGAAGAAAATCAAGAGGAGGGAAACCCAAACAGAGTGAAATGACATCATAAATCAACCAATCAGCTGTCTCACATGCAGTTTGGACTCACAGATTTCCATCTGGATATGTCAAATGGGTGAAAATTCCAAATAAAAGGAGTTGTTAGATGTTATAAGAGGTTAAAACTTGGTTTTTAGCCCCATAAATAACAACATAATGATAACAATGAAGACAACTGGGAGCACGTTGGTGGCTTTAGATGAAAGCACAAAACCTAGTAATGGCTTCTTCAAAAGTCCATAAACAGACAAACGTTACAAGCAAATTATGAATCCTAATGAATTTATGGGCTACAGGGATTCTAGAGCTTTGAGGAAACATCGGACTCCCTCAGTGGATCTTTTTAAAGTTGATTTTCTTCTAATACTTTGAAAACACAAAAAGGAGATATGTATTCAAAGTCGACTTGTCTACTTCCACTTAGAGCTGGGCGATATGAGATTTTTTCATATCACGATATGTTTTTTTCATTTCAGGCGATAACGATATCTATCACGATATAAGCCAAATAACTATATTTGTAAGATTTAAATGTGCCGTTGCTCACAAGTAAAATGTGAAATAATCAGCAGCTTGTTTTTATTTAAATATTTATTTCCCATAATAAGTTCAACAGGGTAGATGTACTTAAGGAACATGAGACTTTTTCAGATAAATAAAGGCAAATATTGCAAACTACACAAAAGGCAGCCGCTAAAGCGTTTAAGTTTCAAAATAGAACAAACGAAACAGACTAAATTGTCAATTCCACTTAGAAACAAAATATTAATTCTAAAAATAAATCTTAGTTTGTTTTACAGAAGAACAGACAAAACTGACTAACTTTTGTCAATATCAAATAAACTGAGAACTAAAAGGAAATTCTCAATCTCTCCTTGTTGTATAGCTTAGCTTTTCAAACAGTTTTAACAGTTACTTTAGTCTGACAAAAGCCGAATGACGAATTAGCGCTTCCAGTCAGAGACTGAGGCTACGTCCACACGTACACGGGTATTTTTGAAAACGAGATTTTCCGTTTTCGTTTTAAAAAATAATCCCGTCCACACATAAAGGCAGAAATGAAGGAAAACGCTGCTATGAACATGCCAAAGCAGCAGGTGGCGCTAGATTCCTAACCGTGCAGAAATGTTGGCCAATCAGAAGTCTAGAAGCCTCGGTGGGAAAAAGTAAACAAAGCTGGGGCACAGAAGCAGAACCGAGTCATATGTGTGGAGGACAGTAACGTGTGTGTATATGTAAGCATTTAAACACTGCAGAGAGTAGAATTAACAGTAACAGTATTGTAGAAATTCATTTCACCGAAACAATAACGTGGCGCACAGTGTGACGCATGCACCAGTTTATTGTATTTCCAGACTTGCTTTCGGCACATTTACAGTGCACGCTACTCTGTTTTTGTCAGACTTGAAATAGCCGAAATACCTTCACACTACGGAACTTCTTGGCTCTTCCGTTCAACAATCTCTCCGGCGTTGGAACCATCATCTGTTTTCTCTTCGGTCACGCTCGGTTGATTTTTCTAGTCGGCGCACTCATTTCCTCCATTACCGGCCCGCGGCTGGCTGCTTCCCAAACAATACACAGTGCGGCTTGGCACTTGTGCTGTACGTAACAAGTCACGCGACGTGACGCTGCGGCTGTGATTGGTTCGGCTCTGCGCTACTTAATTTGGATTGGCTGACCTTTTTTTTTTTTTTTTTTTTTTTTTTTAAGAGGACAAGAGCGGCGAAGGTCTATCGCGATAGTTTAATTTCTCTATCGAGTAAAAGTTATATCGCGATACATATCGTTATCGTTCTATCGCCCAGCTCTACTTCCACTCTGGTGTCTTAATTAACACTCGTCCTAGTTCAGGATAATCTGAATGGTAGTTTGCGCTGGGCCCGGCCCGAGCTTGTCTCCACCTTCAGGGTGTTTTCGCCCAGAATCGACATGCTGCTTTTGATTTGTTTTGCTCTGGATGACTTCTCTTCTTCAAGACCAATCTGCATCATCATTTTGGCTCTGACTGGTGTCGGTTGTTTGTCTCATTTATTTCTTGTCTCGTTGATCTTGTCAGTGTTATGATCTAAAATGTGCCATGGTCATCTGCGTTTTAAATTGTGGGTGTTAGATCTGCTCTCTTTGCCTTTTCTCTGCGGCACACAAATAGGGGAACCACTTAGGTGGTCTTGACTACAGACCTGGTAAGCTCACATGTAAACTGTGGAGAAGTTAAGGAGAATTAGGGTGGGATTTTTTCCCACAGTTGTCCTTTCATACATGAAGCACAGCAGGAAATAGTCAGCTTTCTAACTGCTGGAAATGACTACTGCTGGAAATGACTGGGAGATGACGCCTACTCGCTGGCGGTGAATGTCTGGTTTTGGCTAGAAGAGTTCAGAGCTGCAGTGCATGTATGAAACAGCTTCAGACTAGATAAATCCTCCAGATCGGCCTCTGTAGAGACTGTAGATTGAAGGTGTGAAATGTATTTTAAATGTGTCTGGGCAAAAACACATTGTGCTCAGTTAGAGTAAAAAGTGCTTTATAAGTATCAATCCATTCAACATTTACTGTGATCACTGACTGTAATCAAACATAGACTGTGTATGGTTGTTTAAGTGGATAAAGTGTGGACCAATCAGAGGTGGAGTAGGGTGAGCTGAAAAGGGAAAAAATAGCGCCTGCGGAGAGAGGCGAGCCTTAGCAAAATTTACCCGCTAAACGGATAATCTACACATCCTCAGTGTTAACTTCAGCATGTATGTGTTTGTGTGTGTGCTGTATGGACACGGTTCGCAACCCTGTACTGCTGCTCTTCACACTTCATTACTTATGGGCACAGAGACACACAAACACGCACTTCCTGTTGTTGTCTCAGCTTAGAGTTAACCCTTTAAGCTTACATCAAACACTCACAGAAACAACCACAGGTTTAATATTTCTGCCCCATGTATAGGAAGGTAAATGTGACCTGTAAGGAAGAAAAGAACAAGAGAAAGCTAAAGTAAAAGAAGGATAAAAGGGAGGAAGGACAAGAAGGTGGGAGGGAAGGAACGTAGGAAGTCAGGGAGCAAAAGAAACCAAACACCAACATTCAGATTCGTGTCTGTCTTATGCAGGGAGGGAAACCAGACCTGAACACAGCTCTGCCCATCAGACAGACGGCCTCCATCTTTAAACAGCCCGTTACCAAGGTTACAAGTCACCCCGGAAACAAGGTGAAGACAGACCTGCAGCGGGCGATCGAGCAGCCCAAACAGGTGAGACGCTGAAACACACACACACAAATACACATACAGGTAATTCAGGAGGGCGAGGTCAGGCTCTTACATAAGAGACGGCTGTGAGGAGGAGAAGAGTGTAATGACAGCTGGAACCACTAGAGGGTGCTGAAGCATCATGGGAAAAGCAGCACACGGAGGACCGAATGATGATTGGAGGGAGAGAAATATGTTGGGTAGAATGATACTGTTAATGAAAGGTGATAAAATATGCATTTAAGCCCCACAGTTCTTCTATTCTAAGACATTCATTTGGGTTCACAGACTAGATGAAAATGAGCTCTTTTTCTGCCACTGAACAGTAAGAGGTTAGCATCCATCAGACTGCCTGCAACATCTTTAGAGCTAGAGTCCAACTTACCCCTCAGTATCGAATTTTTTCCTTGTTGGAACTCTTCACTATAAAAGTTTTTAACAACAGTACTGTTGTCTTCTAACTCTGTCCAGTTAAAGCAGAGCAGCAGGAAAGGAACCTGGTTCCATTATCCTGTTAACATCCTCCAGGTCCCTGCTGACCCATCTACATCCAGCCCTGTTTAAAACCTTAAACCATGAGGCTAACATTAATGTGTGAGTGATGGTTTGAAAGAGGAGTGAAAGAAGCCATCTATGTCCACTGTGAACGACCATCTTTGAACAGAGGTGGTGGTTTACGACACCAACTCTCTGCCATCTATAATCCAGTTATGAGATCCCTTCCCAGACGCCTTAACGCCCACTCACATCCTGGACCATTTTGACCTCAGGAAATCACATGATAGGGTGGGGCCAGGTTTCACAGTGAGTTCACCCGAAACATCGGCTGAATGTGACCCACACCCGCTTTCACACCTTAACAAATGTGATTAGATAGAGGATCAACAGGGGGTTCATGACCCTCTAGGGGGACACTCCCATACGGCTTAAATCGGGGACTTTCCACAATTTGACCTTAGAACTAAAGAAGCTTCTCGGATGAGAGGTGAAACGTCTTCAAGTAACTTAAAGAAGTCCAGACGCTTTTCTTTCCAAGCTCAATATACTTAGTCTCTGAATGAATGTGCAGCATTAATGCTTTTGGGCTGGCTTGAGTTTTTAGATGTGAATAAACAGATCTGGTAAGCAGGATGGTCTGTGGAGTTTAGGCTACATTTCTCAGATTTCTTTCCTTCTATGCACTTGTCATTGACTCAGGTGTGCAGATTTTCTTAAATTTGTTATTTGAATAAACTGATCTGGCCACTCAGATCTTTGCATTTGTGCTTGTAGCTCAAAATATGCAGCATTACTGAATATACAGTGATATGTAAATAGTAAATAATACTATTTTACCTCTGCCACACAGTTAGATTCTGCTCTGGGTCAGTCGGCTTACTGAACCGATTTCTCTGCCTCATCGGATATGATCCCAACTCTGCCAACAACAGCTCAAACGATCCCACTGACATCCAAAAATATGCTGTCATGCAGCTTCGACTCCTGGATCAAACCAGGAAATTCTCTTGATAATTGAATGAACTCAGCGCCACTTTTTCACAACCCGCCCAGCGTGCGATGGCCTTTAGGGTTAGGTTGGATTTCAGCTGCATGCTGAGTCAAATATAGAGAATCTAGAAGATCTTTTAAAGATTTACCTTTGCTTTGTAGTTCATCTAAGATTTCCATTTGAGCATTTCAAACAGGAATTTCTGATTCTAGCCCTTACCCTGAACAATTTACTGAGGCCTGATGGACATTAAGAGTTTAAAGTATTATATTTGAAAATGTCTTGAAAATGAACAAGCAAAACTAATCAAAAACCAGTGAGACGATCAGATAAACAGCTGTCTGTCTGTCTGTCTGCAGCTGTTTTGGGAGAAGAGGTTGAAAGGTCTGCGGTCATCAGACGTCACAGAGCAGGTCCTGCGTACCATGGACCTGCCCAAAGGATTGCAGAGTAGGTCTCCAACAACAGCTTGAATCCAGTCCTTCAGCCTGTCTTGACCTCTGACACATCTCTTGATCTCGTTCTCTCATTGGACAGGTGTCGGTCCAGATGCGAGTGACGACACCCTGCTGTCGGCCATCGCCAGCGCTCTGCACATGAGCTCAGCTCCGATTACGGGACAGACGTCTGTAGCGGCTGAGAAGAATCCGGCAATCTGGCTCAACACGTCCCAGCCGCTCTGCAAGGCCTTCACCGTCACGGACGAGCACATCCGGTAAGACCCACAGTCCTCAAACAGTCTTTGTCCCCCCTCAGCTCTCAGTCGCTACAAGGCATTCGGCTGATTGTAACCAAAGAGGGAGAAGTGCATGCTTCTCCCTCTGACATGAGCACTTGAAGCCGTGCTAAAATGCTAATGTTTGTGCCAGCTCTCTGTGAACCCAGCTCTAAAGATTAATTTGGAACAGGGATTTTCATATTGAGAGGTGAAAGATACAATCAACACACACACACACACACACAGATACACACAGCTTAAGAAGGCAATTATGGTACTTTAAAGCTTTGAGTGTCCTGTTGCTGCATTTTTAGTTGTAATTAGTGCTTCTTGTGAGTCACAACTAATCAGAGTACAAAGACATGATACACAGTGTGACTTACACTTTCCAAGGAGATCATTATCTTTGAAGTCCACTGCAAACAAACATACGCAAACATGCTAAGAGCTCCGGGGCTTGTTTAAAAGTTTTCTTCAGTATCAAAGTAATGCAGTGGTAGCTGTCTGTGCTTCGGTGGGAATACTGCAAGCCAGACCTTTTAACAAATAGTAAATTTGGCATGCTTCTTGTATCGTCCGTTTATTTTCCTCCACTTTTCTTATGTCGGCTTTCAGAAGAATATTCCAGACATGCTTCTCCAGCAGAGCTTTTCAGTTCCCATTTGGGGAGATGAGGTGCTCCCCGGCCAGATTAGATATTTAAACTCTTTCCAGCAAGTTCAGGTTCTGTCCCTGGGGGGGCTCTACTCTCATCTGGGTATGCCCAGAAAACCTCCAAAGGCAGATATCTAGGAGGCATTGTGATCAGCTGCCTGAACCATCTGTGTTGGCTCCTTTCAACACCTAGGAGCAGTGTCTCTACTCCGAATGTTCAAGCTCCTTTCGCATATCTCTTGAGCAACCTGTTGAAAAGATCTTAAAGACATTGCATCCAGACAACTAAACAATGCTGAGATTTGTTTAAAATTGAAAGGAGAAAAGCTGAATTCGCAGTTAATTCAACAGATAAACTAACCTCGAAGCAGCAAATATCCATGGACCCTGTTTTCTGGGCTTAATCTGACCTGCCAGTCATTTGCTTTTAACCCTCTGAAGTGTAAATCCTCACATCCAAATCTGAACTCAACCTTAGATTTTGTTGGGAAAACTGACCTTTTTGGGAAAAAGTGAGGAGTTTTTGATGTGTGTCAGGGAGAATCATGATCTTTCCTGGTTGGTATGAGTTGGGAGAACAATAGAAAAAAGACATACATGGTAGAGAAACAGAGGATTTATGCTTCAGTGGAAATTCTGTGCCACAGCTATGTTGTAACCACAAAGTCCTCTGAAGCCCTGTGACCTAACCCACGGTCTAACCTGACGTACACTTCAGTAGAACAACTGCGGTGATTAACCTGTTCGGTACCAGCAATTGCTCCTGTGTATTTCTGCCTATTTTTTTTTGCTGCACTTTATGGATTCATCAGTGAGACAATAAAAATCATATCCTCAATGTATAAGCATAAATGCTTTCCATGATGACTTAGATCTGAGGGGGTTAAATCAAATCATCCATTTACGTATAAAGTTGGTTTAAAAGCAAAAGGACATCTGAGCAGCTTGGTGAACTTCTCAGACAACCAGCAGATTCAAATCCAGACCTTCTTTTACTGCTGTACCAACGAGTTCCTCCACATGGTTCACAAAGCATCTCTTTAATTGACATCAAATGCAAAATGTCTCCTTTTTATCACATTCAGGGTGAAACAGGGATCCTGGCAGTTAGCTTAACTTGTCAGCGGGTGGATCAAATGGGTGCGTCTCACATTCCTGCACAAGCAGATTACTTCTGATTGGATCACTTCCAAACTCGTGCCGCTTTTCTGCACAACTTAATTAGTTCTGAGTGGATCTCGTCATCTGTCCAGAATATTTTCACGTTGTTATTATTTCATACATCATAGTTTTTGTCCTCGTGAATTAGTTTTTATTCATCGTCTCGTGGTCATCAGTACAGAAAGGCCATTGACACAAAAGCTGGTGTAAACATTAAGCACTGACTATCCTGATGCTTGTGCAAGTCCGTGCACCATGACCCAGTAACATAAATGATATAAACATGTTTTTTTTAAAAACATATTTAAAAAGTTGTCAGCTGATAGGGTAGTCTGTGCGCTTGAGTGATCAGACGGTTTCACAACCAAATAAAATGTCAGATGTGTGAAAGCAAGGCAAAGAGACGTGTTTGCATATTTAACGCAGCGCTGAGGTGTAACTGGGACACCGCGTCTAACACGATTTTAGATTGGATGGCTGAGTACAGTTCAGACCTCAGATCAACAGAAAATAGCTGAGTGGGTAAACATGAATTGGAGAATGGCTGAGTCGAGTAAAGGTCTTCGTAATAGACTCAAAAGAAAGACTTTCACCTTTAACTTTTTCACTGCATTTAAATGTAAAGGTGATGTTTCTTTAGCCGGTTAACATCCAAGAAGACATTGGTGACCTGGTTCTGTTCATCTGGTCCAAAATAAGTGATCTTTATTATTGCGTTTAAGAATCAGGAGTCCTGCTGTTCTTGTTTTTGTCACTCAGTGACTCAGAGAAGTTGTATTCATCTTCACCTTCAGTGTGTTTGAGCAGGTTTTCCTCCTGAATGATGAAGCTGTTTTTAGTGGCGATTTATTCTGCACTTCTATTTACTAAAACTTGAAAAAAAAACCTGTTATCCTTGAACCTTTGTACTTGTGTGAATATTTGCAGAAATTTTAATTGCTGCAAGTGCTCTTAAAAATTCTCTAGTAACTTTTGTGCTGATTTATGTGATTCACTCTTTTTATTACTATGTTTCCCCTCTTACAAATGGAAAAGCTGTAATTTAAAAAAAGTTTTTTTTTCTTCTTTTTTCTATTTAGTGCAGTCAGATTTTTCTGCTTTGCTCTCATTCGGCTCAGCATGACCAGCAGCTTATTGTGGCTGCATAACTGACATTTATGACTCTTTAGACCGTCTTTTATCATTTATCAGTATTTCAAATGCTAATTGTGCCCTCAGTTGAATCACACACAGAAGTGACAAATCACACACAGCTCAGCAGAAAGCTCAGAATACACTCAGAATAAAATATTTCAAAATATGACAGTAGCTACAGATCCTTATTGTAGGATAAAGATGCAGACTATAAGCTTCTAACGTTAACGCCATGTGAGTTCCAACCTAAGAGTCTATGAGCAACAGTCATGGACTCATGCTAGCCTTACTGAAACCTCGTTAATTCTTGGTTTTACCCCTAATGGATTGTCACTTTTTCTCACTGGAGCCTCAAAGTGGGCTTTCCTGCATCTGCAGCTAAATTCGTCCTAAGAGATGTTGTCATCACCAGTTTTAAACAGATTGCGTCCATTCAGCTTGTAAGCATCGTCCTTTGATGGACATAAGGCGTTGACGTTCTGCGGGTTTTGTAGATTTAGAAACTCCTCTTTACTTTTTGCACACTTTAAGGGATAGCGTAACAAAGAGAAAACGGGATTTGTTTGTAGTTACAGCTTTGTGTCTCTTCAGGCAAGCTTTGGAAGCCTGAATTTGTCAGTTTTTTCCAATTCGTCCTGACATAACTATTCAAGCTCCAGTGGAACTGGAGCAACCTCAGATCTCACTCCGGTAGTTCTGAGGTTTTCCGAGCCTCCCAAGGTCACCAGACTTGTTCTTCAGTTGTTCATGTGCTGTTTTGACTGTTTTCCTTGACCTGTCGACTGTGTTTGTGCTGTTATGTTTTGAAGCATTTTTAAGGGAATTAGTAGGTCTTATAAGTACGTGTTTCAGACTATCTAAGAAGTTTGTGCTCCAGTTTTGGTGAGTGAAATTCTAGTATTGTACGAGTCTATTACTAATACTGAACAAATAAACAGATGTCTGTGACTTTGTGTCTGCTAGTGTTAGCTAACAGCTAATCTCCTGTCCAAATATCCCAACTTTCAGCACATGTGGTGGAGATGTCCACAAATCAGTTAAGCAGGTTTAAGCTCCAGTGTATTAATATTAGTGTACTTATAATTTTATTTAAGCCAGGACAACAAAGATTCCGATTTATTTATTTAGTCTTTATTGTTTTTTAATGATTTTAAATGCTCGTGGGCTTGACGTTGTTTATCTGGAACGTGAAGTGGATGTTTATCCCAGTTTACTTTTAATGCTCTTTGAGAAGATACAGGTGTGCTCTCTCTACAGTATAGGCCTGATCAATGTTTTTGGCAGATTCTCCAGGTGTTCAGTCAGTTATGGACATATCTGAAGAGTTATTAAAGTGAAAAGCAGCTGTTTCCACTTAATGTCTCATTAATTGTAGATTGCTTGAAAAGCATATCATTTTTCTAGAATATTTTCTGGATCCACTGTATCAGTACAGTAATGCTTGGTGAGCTAACCAGTGAGATTGAATACAATTATGTGATGCATATCTCTGTTAGACGGTGATGGCGTTTGATGAGCATAGCTGCGTTTTGTGTGTTAGACATGGAAAAATGTAAATTCTCATCCTTCTAGCCTCTGATAAAACGCAAAACGATTTCTGTCGCCTTCCAGGATGAGACAGATGAGGGTTGATGACTGATGCATGCTGGGTAGGGGGAGTAATCAGTTGTAGTGAGAGGGGAGTATGAGAAGGTGATGAGATAGGAGACAGACAAGGAGAGATGAGGAGAAATGAAGCATGAAGGGAGTCGGGGGGGAGGCCACATTGGGAAATTAACATGAAACATATGATTCAATTTAATATCAAACTGCTAAATAAGTCTTGAGCCAAAAATGTTCACAGCCTGTTCTTATCTGCTCTGAATGACCTGCATATGAGAGGTTGAAGACATTAGCATTTTAGCTACAGGTCATGATTACCTCCATTATTACTATGATTCCCAGGAAGTATGTGGTTCTTCCTCTACTTGCCAAAAGCTACAGCCTGTTTAATGGCTACTTCAGGTTGACTCCAAAGATGTAGGTAGAAGCTTACAGCCTGATACGAAAAGTGGTTTGATCTCTACAGCTTTGTTTGTACTCCCACAACTATATACATGGTGGTGTTTAGAAATTCATTAGTCTGGATAAGTTAGCAACACAGGTGGCTGTAGCTGTCAGCTAGCTGTTTGCTAGGTGTCTGTCAACTCAGCTATTTTGAGGCGCTGAACTGGATTTCTGAACGATGTGATATCCCTGTGCTGGGTTTGTTGCTCATCATCATAATAATGTTGGTCCAAGATCAACAACAACAACTGACCAGTCATGTAGTTGTGATGTCACAGCTTTGTAATATGGGAGAAAAAAGTGTTTTTGTTTATATAAAACACTCTTCTGGATGTGTTTTCTTTCTAGTTAGCTTCTTGGCTAATGCTAACTGAGTGCTCAGTACATATTTATCCTACACAAAACCATAGATAGGACACCAGGATTTCTTGATTTATAAGGACATCAGGGCTCCTATTTCCTATTTGCTTTGAATGCCTGTGGGCTTGATATAGTCTAATTTATCTGAAAAGTGAAGCAGCTGATTCTCCAGTATCATCCTGTTGCTCCTGCTGTCTGTGTTGCCAGACCAGGGTCCCTATAAAGCACGAATGCAATTAATACATGCTGACAGCAGGAGGCACTGTGGGGACACACATCTGGCAGTATATATATATATATATATATATATATGTGTGTGTGTGTGTGTGTGTCCAGTGGAAAACACTGGGGAGAACAGCTGGCCAAAGCCATTACAGCAGAATCACTCGAATACCTCACGAGATCCTTCCCTCCCATCTTCTCTCCTCCCCCTTTTTCTTCCTATTTCCTTCTCACCTCTTTTACTCCCTTTCCCTTCGTTCTTTTCCATTCATTCCTTCCTAATCTTATTTTGTTTTCATTTATTTTTTCTGTGCTCCTTTCCTTTTCCCCTTGTAATCCTTTCTTATATTTCTTGATGTTTTTCTTCCATCCACTTCTCCTTTCTTTACTGTTTCATTCTTCCTTACTTTATCGGCGTCATCCTTCCCATGTTTCATCCCCCTCTTCCTTTGTTTTCCCACCTTCATCTTTCATCCCATTTCCATTTCCACCCCTCCTCCTCCTCGTATTCCTTTCCTTATCTCTCCCCTCCATTAATTTCCCATTCTCTCCCTCTTACCTCCTCTTTCTCTCTTTCCTTCTCCCTCCCTCTCTCTCTCTCCAGTTGAATGTGCTTGTCATCTTAAATTGCTCTCATTCCTTTCCTCTCCCTCTTCTTCCTCATCTTTCCACCACCTCTTCCTCCTGTGGCACATCAGGCCAACACAGCTCTGTTTTTGAAATCTCACGTTTTCATTTTGGGTAGCTTATTCATATCTTTCTCCCGCTGTTTGACACAATTTCTATTTTTTTTATCTCCGTTTTTAATTAAGAGTCTTATTTATCCCATGAAAAGCATCTTTCGATTGACTTGACTGTGTTTGCTTTCTTGATCCAGATTCAGTCTCAGATGTACACATGAGGCTGAGTCTGTGTTCTGTAAAGGATGGTTCAGCACAGAGAGAAAAGCTTACACGTTTGCTTTAAAGTAACTTTGAATTTTAAACTCAGTCTGATTAATGGCTCAATCAAGAGTAGAATTCATCTGCAAAAGTATGTGGACAGCCAGAAATTCATCACCGTGACCATGTGCGACATAATGTCTTCATTTTGATTACATCAGAATGGGTTTTACAGTCTGGTGTTTACATGCACAAATACATTTAATTACAACAGTATTTTTATATAAAAGTGATAAATATGTCCTCAGTTTGTCTTCTTCAGTGAAGATCATTGGATAATAACGCAACAACCAGTGAGTATTCTGGATAAGTGTCCTGGATAATTCTTGTTTTTGAACCAGAATGATCAAAATGTAGAAAGTGGATAAAGCATTTTATTCAGTATGAATAATGCATAACTAAGCACATAAACTTAGAAGCACGTTGCATCTTTTAAATATCCTGTGTGCTCTGTGAGTCGCCCCCTGCTGGCTGATAAAAAGGATGCATATTTGAGGCAAAATAATTCGAGTTTCCATACCCAAAAGCTATGTGCATCTGTAATATCCAGTCATGACACAAAATACAAGGTTAAGATGAAACTATTGAACTAGCAAAAAAATGAAAAAACAAAACAAAAACACTGTGATGGACGCGACCAATTCTTGTAGGCTGATACATGCATCCAATCAGCCAGTAGGACTGGACACACAAAATCAGAACTGTGTACTCTAATTTTATTCATTTGTAATGTGGGTGTCACTTTCTATGATTTATGTTTTCTGTTCATCATCGTTGTATTAAGATTTAGTGCTTGAGGTGCAGGATTAGTCTGCAGGCTTTGATACATTTGCTCTGATTAATAAAGTTGCTTAAGGTTTGTATTTTATAAAAATGTTCTTTATATGAAATTAAAACTGTCAGGAGAAACCAGCAGACTGTGGACTACGAGTAATAGTAAAGACAACTTAATAGAAAAAGACGTGTGTGTGTGTGTGTGTGTGTGTGTGTGTGTGTGTGTGTGTGTGTGTGTGTGTGTGTGTGTGTGTGCGCGCGTGCGTGCAGGGAGCAGGAAATGAAAGTGTACCAGGCCAGGAGGAGTCTGGAGGAAGCACTGATGGCTGACAGTTTGGCGCGGGCCGCCGAAAACACCCGAGAGCTGCTCGAGGGGAAGAAGGCCTGAAGACAAGACAGGTGAGATGTGGGGGAAATGAGTATGAACGGGTTAAAGACGTCGTCTCCAATGTGCACATGAGCTGCCGATAGGACTGGACAGATGACGTTAACTGGTAGTCATGGTAACTCAACGTGCTTGCCAGAATAGGAGGGCCGGAGGTGAAATATCTGTGAAAGACAGGAAATAAAGTTTCTGTGGAGTGATTTTTAAGCAGTGTCACAGGTCACTGCTGTGAGCAGCTTGTTACAGTGTGTAGTTAAGTTTTAATAACCTCTGGTGGCCACGTGAAGAAGTGTTAGAGACTTTTTAAAGTTATCTCACTCTGTGATGCAAGATAGGCAAATAAAAGTCACATGATCTGCCTGGCAAACAAACCCCTAGGATCAAAAAGCAAACAAAGCAAACAACATGAATCAAACAGGAACAAGGAATAAATAGAATAATATATAACCTTTAAATGTCTTGAATGATGCAGAACCTTGTGTGTGTGTGTGTGTGTGTGTGTGTGTGTGTTTTGTGAGACTTGTTGTGAATGCTGATGAGATTCTCAGCGTCTGATTGAAACTCAGCTATGTAGCAGCGCAGCAGTGTGTCTGTGTGTGTGATTGATGGGCCGTGGGGTTGTGTGCGTGTGTGTGTGTTTCGGTGGTTAATGTGTGTGTTGTATTACAATTTGTTTGGTTATTGCCTATGTTTCACTCTGCGGAGCCCGTAAACAAATCCAGATTAAAAAACATTTACTTTCAGAAGTTCACACAGCCATCCATCATCTCGCCCATTTTCCGGCTGCTTATCCAGGTCAAGGTCACCGTGGCAACGGGACGGCACAGCAGACCAGAGGCTGTTTTCAGAATGAAAAGGTTTTTGCTGCAGAGTTTCAGACCTCTCAGGGGTTTTACCCACAAAGAAAACTCGAGGAGAACAGACCTGGCTGGTTAAACGTTGGTGTGATTTCTTGAGTCAGTCGGTAAAACTCAAGTGCAGTTTGTCCTGAGGGTGGTGCTAAAGAGCAAATGAGTTAAACGAGTTGATCATGTGGTGTGCAACCTCTGGAGCATAAAAATGAACCTGCAGTTCCTCTCATGTCCACTTGAGGCTGGCTACAGATGTGAGGTGTCAATGTTTACAGCCTGTTTGAGTCTCTGTGTCATATTTCTGCTCTGTACATCAAATGGACCGGTACTTATACAGTGCCTTTCTACTCAGTTTGAGCCCTCTGCATCAGTATCTTACTGATAACAAGGATGCTTCAACACAAGGACTGCATGAGCGGGAATCATTCCATCAACCTTCCGATTGGTCGACGGCCCCCTCTGCCACCTGAACCACTACTTAAAGTTTGGGATGTTTCTGCTTTGATTGACTGTTGGTTGCTGGTGTTGGAGGCAGGTGTCACCTCAGTTAGTTTGGACTAATGAACATGTTTGAACTATTGGTGCCTGCTGGCCTTGTAAAACATATTCAAAATACAGACAGTCTTGCTTTATGCTGTTTATCTCAAGATTATGCTTTGAGTATATCTGATCTCGCATTTGACCTCTAAACAGTTTATGGACTCAGTCGTTCTGGGTCATAAACACATGAGGAGGATATGACCACAACTCATCCGTTATATTAGTTTATATTGGTTTTAAAGCACAAATGTGGTGACAGTGAAAACTCGCGGCTTTAGAGCCATACTTCAGAGGCCAGTGGGTGATGACAGGGCATCTACATTCATGTTTTAAACCATCCACGATCCCTGCAGACTGTTCTTAACTGGATTATTATTGCACTGGTGCAGTCCAACATCACACGTTTCTGCGAGGGAGCTGCAGGTTAAAGACCGGCTAAAGTCCAACCTGACACCATGTTTTCACCTGCACCTCTAGAAAAGTCCAGTACTGCAGTCCATGTGTCTAAACTGTAAATGTCACCTTACTAACCAAAGGTTCCTAGCATCTTCCATTAACGTAGCACTTGACCTTCTAACGGCTCCTCTGGCTCCAGAAAACAAACCAACATGGCGAAGGGCGTAAAGCTGGAGTGGAGTTCCCGTGGCCGTATGCATGTTTCCCGTACGGTCTGTGGGAGGATTCAGCAGCTGAAGCATCAGCATCATGGCGCTCTTCTGTCCGGCACTCGTGTTATATTGCTTTTGTAAGCGTGTCATGATATGTCTGTTGGGTTTTATCTGTTGTTAATAGAGGCTGCAGTTACGTATATGTGTGTGTGTCTTTGTGTGAGTGTGTGTGCTGATGCTTCCTCTAAAAGCTGACAGATAAGGAGGCTTTTTTTAAAGCACATTTGTTTTCTGTGGAGGGAAAATTGTCCATTAATGCAGATTTATGCAGATTGGCTGGATGGAAGTCGTTTGGGCGAAAAGAGCCACTGAGAGTCGAGGAGTGATTACTAATGGGTTTTTATAGCTGGACCAGAGAGAGGGGGCAGTGGGCAGCTTCTCTCTCTCTTTGTGTGCATGTGTGTGTATATGTGTGTGTTTCTGCTTCGGAGCTGTTGAAACAACCCTTTTAAATCTTTGTCGAATTCTCACACTGTTTGCTTTGCTTCCTGCTGCTCTGACTCTTATTTGTAGCGTCCTGCTAATTTATTTATGTTGGTTTTCTGGCTGAGTTGGCTTCTGCCATTCTCTATCTTTTATGCGACCCTTTATATTCTGTGCTTACTCAGAAACATGCTACACTAGGTGGCAATAACACATTACAATACTGCTGCCATGAACGATGGGGGCAAACACGTCTAACGGTGCTGTATTCTTTTCTTTGACTGCATCAGTTTTCATTACCAGAAGTGTTGATGTGAGTTATGTTAGTACTGGTACCACACAAAATCATTTATGTGCAGGAAAAACATTATTGTGTGGTTTAATCTATTGTAATGTGAATGATTTAGGTGGAGATGTATATTTTATATGAATAATCGAAATTGACAAAAAACCTTAAAAAGCCTTAAAAAGTAATTATAGTAAATACAGGTGGGAAGAGGCCCACTTTAGACCCTCTCCTGCATTCTGGCATCTCTGCTACGAAGAGAGAAAGAGGGTGTCTGCTGTTAGTCTGCAGGAAATTTAAAGATGGTGATAAAATAAAGAAGCAGTTTTTGTGCAAACAGATGGGTTTAGGTTTAACTCACTCTTTATTCTACAATCCTTTTAAAGCTAATAAACCTTTGGTCAGTGGTCATAGCTTCTTGCTTCTATGTTTAAGCTCAATGATCAGCTGTTAGCCAAATTTGGCCAAATATTAACAGGTCAGTCTCATTGCATTAGGAGCTATTGTCCATAGCCTGAAAAGACTGAAAAGCGGCGCTGGTTTTTCATGCCTTGTGGGCTTTTTGTGTACTGCTTTTAAGAGTGTAAGAGTTTCTGTGTGAGGTGAAACATTTCTCATTGGCATTTCTGCACTTGTCGGGGTTTGAATTAGGCCTGGGTCCATTTTAGCTACATGCTGGCACATATTTAGGCATTAGAAAATGTTACCTTTAAAATGTCATAGATTTGTTTTGGCTTTACAGTTTTTTTCTGTTAAAAACTTTTTCATTTGGGTGTTTAAAAAAAGTAAACAGTGGCTGAAATACCTACCAATGATGCAGTCTGTCAACTGCCTTGATTTTGAGTTTTGATCTAGGACTGTAATCAAAGTTTTACATAACTGCAGAACCATGCATGTTCATCAGCTGATATATTTATATTTAATTTTTTTAAAATGTCTTTTAAGCTGAAGTGTAATTTGTCAAATTGTGTTATTAATGTGCGATTATCATCCTCATTTCGACCTTTCAATCCCATTTCTGAGCAAATATGAGCCAAAAAGAGTTTCCTTTTCAGCACCACCTTTCTCCACTCAGAGGTCTTCCACAGACATAAAGCTGATATCCATCTCCTCGTGTGACTGTGGGGAAGACACGAAGGAAGAGGATTTCTCTAAACATTGAACTGTTCCTTTAAAATGAGCAGACTGCCGTTTTTATCTGATCGAGACTTAAGATTCACACTGCTGACTGAGGAAAGACTGTGACTGATACAAACACACACCAGCAGCATCTCTCTCTCTCTGTGTGTGTGTGTGTGTGTGTGTGTGTGTGTGTGTGTGTGTGTGTGTGTGTGTGTGTGTGTGAGAATATTAGCTGTGTATCTTGTAATTTCCAGAGGAGCTGATTCAGACTCCTGCAGCATTTTTCAGCTGCTGGTAATTAGTGCATGTTGAGACACAGAGAATTATCTGCTTCAAAGTCATTCATGAGGCTGATAACTGCTGAGTGTGTGTGCCCGTGTGCTGTCAGTTAGCTGAATTGCCTCGATTAAGCAGCAGATTATCAGGATTTTCTAATTATTAGGGAGTAATTAAGAGTGAGCTGAGGATTATCAGACCGAAACATGGAAACAGTGAAGGAAGAAAACATTCACATGTATTAATACTGAAACAGTAAAACAAAGAAACACTAACACAGCACAACAAAGAGTTCATCATTAAGTCTGGATTTGGCAAACACTAGCAAATCTGAAGGATGCACAATGGCACAGGAAGGGTCTAAAAATAAATGTTTAACTGTGGGGTTGTAGGTTCAGTTACAGGTAAAGTGAACCAAAATCAGAATTAAGGAGGCAGTCTGAATGAGTTGCTAGGTGATTCAACGGATTTGTCATCATGTAATCAATGATTCAAAAGTAGAAACTGGGGATGAAAAAAAGACTAAAAAGATAAATGACAATAAAAAAACAACAACAAAATAATGCAGCTTTAATGCAGATGAGATTTTGTATATTCAGTACTACAGCAACATGGATAACAGTTTCAAGGAGGGATTCTAAATGGTATAAAGACAGATTTAAAGCAAGCCAATTTCATCTTGGAATACCCATCGATTCAAAAACTATTTAGATGCTAGTGATTCAGAAAGAAAGATTTAAAAATGGAAGAAAGGGGAAGGTGAAATAACAAAATTATTAAAAATTTAAAGATGTTGGGATTCAGTATGGTTCAGTAAATGAATAGAATTAAAAATGCCTACTGGACTGCATAGGTTAATAGTACAGTTTGAATTTAAATTAGGCTAACGAAGGATAAAAAAAGGATAGTTAAGAATAAAAAAAATGGTGTAATCAAAAAATTAAAAACATAAAATTAGAGATGGGATTGTTTAAAATTTAAAACCATTTAAAGGAGGAGATTAGATGCAGTAAGAGACTACAGGTTACAGACTCAGTTACAGTTACAGGAGTCAAACTGAGGAGTTAAAACGAGTGCAGTAAGAGAGTACAGTTTGCAAATTCAGTACTACACTTATCAAAAAAAGAGGTGAGGGGATTATAAATGTCATGACGAGACATTCAAAGTAAGCTAATGAAGGATTCGTCAACATATAAACTAGTGTTGAAAAGAAATACAAAGTAGGGATTCAAAACAGCACAATAAAAATACAAATACAGAGGTTGAGTACTTCAGATGGATTGACTCATAGTGAGATGAAGGAAGGATTCTGAATGGCACAATTAACCTTTTTAAGTAGGCTCGTCATAAAACAGCTGATTCAAAATCGTTAAAAAGCAAAGATTGTAAATTGCACAGTGAAAAGAAAATACCAACTGGAGAAATAAATTGGATTCAATACAATAGAAACATCTAAAATGGGAAGAAGGTGGGATTCCAAATGGCATATTACGAGTTCAAATAGAGAAAAATGTAATCATCTGTAATCAAATTAATAATTAAATTAAATGGAAAAGTAAGCTTAAACGGAATAGTGAGACCAGTATAGGGCTGAGAACTGAAAGAACGGGGCGATTCCGTATATAAACAAGGGAGGACTCAAACAGGCCTCAATGAATGACAAATTGCGTGAAGGAGGGAATCAAATGGCACAATTAAATATTTAAAACAGAAGGTACAGAGGGCGACTACAATGGCAAATAAATAATTCAGGATGGTAATTAACAGGGATGACTAAAGTTAGAGCTCAAAGTGGCAAAGTGAAAGCATCAATAGGGGTTCAAAGCGGCAGGATGATTGATTCAAAAGAGATTTATGATGGAAAATGGAAATGAAATGAAGGAGGAAGGATTTGAAAATGCCACAATGATGGATTAACAATGGCTTAATTAGACATTTGAAAGCTCAAGGATGAGAATAAAAATGGATTTTGTTCTGTATTAGAAAAATGGGGATTCACAATGACACATTGGGAAAATTGGAAACTTAGTGGTCAGCAGTGTGGTCAAACGTCTTTGTTAGGCTGAGGAAGACGGGGAGGCTGAGGAGGAGGAGCAGGAGTAGAACATATGATGTGTGATATCACCTCTTCTCTCCTGCTGAGCGAACACTTCACTCTGATGTTTGATATATTATTAAAATGTTTTCTGTACAGGCAAAAGGCTCCTAGTTGTCCTAATTGTAGCTCCACCCTCCTCGTTATTGTACCAAGGAGGAGGAGGAGGAGAAGGTGGGGTGGGGTTAATGGAGGAGTTAATGATTAACATGGAAGCTCAGTGCATTAATTGGATATTTCAATGTGTACAGAGGCGAATGTTTATTATTCTGCAGGAGGAGGGAGAAACACGGCAGTTAGTTTGGGGGATTTTATTAAGATGAACTTAATGAGTCAATTTGGGGTTTATAGAGAAGGAAGTGGGAGGCAGAGTTTTATTCAGAGGTCTCCACAGAGCCTTACAATCTATTTGTTGGGAAGATATCAGTGCTTGCTTGCACTTCATTAATGCCTACACACAAGTGGCAGCTTTTTAAATATTTTTTAGGACAGTTTTTCTAAATAATCCCTACCAAACTCAAACATTAATTCCAAGATTTAAAATATCTTCACTTTTCCCAAGAGCATTGTCTTGTCATGCAAAAAGATGGACAAAGGAGGCCTGATTCTCATAAAAACTAAAATAGGCTTATCTCATGTAACCACAAGTAAAAATGTAGGTTAAGAAACACACGATCCAAAGGTTTTAATCTCAGGATCAGTGAGTGTGCTGAGCAACACGTTCAACAAAGCTGGGTTTTCTTTGAGTTAGCTGAACAAAAATTAAAGCCCCAGTCACAGAAAAGGGCTAGTACAATGGTGGTAACTTTTTTTTTCATGTAATCCAGGCTTCTGGTCTCTGTTCACTCTCACATAAACATTTAATGAGGCATATCGGTCAGTTCACTGATTGAGCATTGCTCACTACAGGTTATAAAATGTGTGATTTAAAAGAAAGATATTAGACATATAACATGACATATAGACTAACGATCTAATCATCTCTATTTCAGGCAGAAAAGCACCTAACAGAAAGGGCCTGGCCCACTTAAGGTCAAGCATGCTGTAGGGCTGGGGTAGAGTTATTTGAACCCAAATGCTTCTTGAATTTATGAAGTGCTAATTTTTTTTTTGTTTTTACAGTTTAATTTAAGCAAATAGGAACTGAACTTGAAGGTTGTTTTACAGAACAGCCCATCTTTTAAAGATCTTTCAAACTGAGACGTGAACTGTCATAGTAACTCCTCTTCTTTCTTTGTGTCTCTCTAGAGTTCCTCTGTTTACCAGCCTCAGGGTTATCACCGCCTTCATCTTAATCCAGACAACAAACCAAAAACCAGACCTCCCACAGCCCAAACGTCACCCGTTCTGATCCATTGTTTCCGTGGATGATCGCTTCAACCTTCCTGTTGTGGAGCCTTTTTTGCACTTGACATTTCTAAACATCTGGAAACATTTTTTTTTCCAGAGTCACAGTAGCAACAGTGGGAGCAACAACCACAGCAATAATGACACAATACCAGCAACAATGCCTCTGACATCGGAGGCTACAGTAGCAATAAGTGGAGCCTGAACCAGCTTGAAGCAACCAAAGCCTTTAATCCTCTCTCTGTGCAAACTTTACAACAAGCATTTCTTTTATTGCAGTTTTTCTTTTTAATATAAAGTAGATAAAAAAAAATAATAAAAAAAACAGAATGTACTTAAGAGCAAGTCCTTCATAAAGACCCAAAGTCAGGTTGCAAACTGCTGGACGGCTTTTGCTAACTCTACTAACTTTCATTTTTTGCTCTTTTATGATTTTGGTTCCTTTGTGGTGTCATATGTCAGCTTCAGGGGTTTTAATGAAATAATGAGAATTTACAATTATATGAAATAGAACAATTACTTATTTAAAGACAAATTTTATACCTTCTGAGAACATATGTGTACATTTTCTGGACTGGACTGGAATAAATAATTATATTCAGAGTCATGTTTGTCTTTTTGTTTTTCTCTGAGCATGGAGGCTGTTTCCCCAAACTGAGGCTAAATAGGTCAGATATCTGGAATTGAAGGGAGCTGAAGAAGGTTTACAGTTAATAACACTGTGCAGACCTCCCCCTTCTTGATATTTAGTGGTATTTTCGCCTAGCATCTAAACATTTGTTTTGCCTGAATGGTCACACACCTGGTCTCACATGAAAATCTCCTTCTCTGAAAGGATCTGCAAAGAAGGATGGGATAAACCTCTGTAAATCCCGCTGTGCAAAGCCAGCAGAGACGTTCCCAAGAAGACTGAAAGCTGTAATTGCTGCCAAAGGTATTTATATCAAATACTGAATTAACAATGTGGAATCTGATTTTTTAAAAAGTTTTATTTCACTTTAGCTGTATGCGGTTTTCAGTGTATACCGACGGCTAAACCTATACAAGTAGATTTTAGTGCCATCCCTCTAATTTCACAGTAAGGAGTTAGCAGATCTGGGGCCTTTATCTCTTGGTGCTTATTGCTGTGGCAGGTAAATCAAGGTACAGCCGCCAGGAGGCTCCTGGAAATAAATTATGAGGAAAAACCTGGGATGAGAAGTCATTGTTGGAGCTCAAAGAAAAGTTAAGTAATCAGCGGGTAGTTTGTTCTGTCAGACATTTGGCACAAACTGCTCCCAGTCCAGATGTTGGAGTCTGTGTGTGATTGTATTGGTGTTCGTGGTGTTTGTGTGTTAAAGACAGAGTGAGACAAACCAGCCTGCCAGTTCTGCCCTCATTTGCATCTGCTAATGGCTCCATGATGCCGGTTTCTGATCACTGCAACCACACATTTAAAATCCTGCTTCTGTGCCAGATGCTCCTCTCTCCCTCTGCCTCGTTCAGGGATTCCTGCTTCCATCCTGTAACAGCAGCTCCGTCCGTGCTCCGCATGAGAAAACAGCAGCTGAGGTTTGACTGGAGGCAGGAAGCAGCACCAGTAATGATGATTTCAGGTGATAAATCTGGATTTATGCTCAAACTTTACAACCGTGAGCATGCCACTTTAAAACCATGAGCATTACTGTGCTGCTGCTGTGAAAGCTTCCTACATGTGTAGGAAGCTAGCTGCAGACCTTTGCTTCTATTCAGGCACAAGAACACTTCAGTCAGAGATGCTTACAGCACAGTGAGAGGTTGTGAAAAGTCTCTGTCTTTGAGGGGGCTCTCGAAGAATATGAGAGCATGAAAACTTCATATCATAAACAGAAAAAGCTTAACACATCCAAAGAGGATGTGTTAAGCTTGCACTGAGCTGCAGCCGCAAGGTGGTTGGTGCCTGTTGTGGTGATAACCCCTGAACCAAATGGTGGACACCAAAGTTGAAGGGAGCTACCAGGTTGAAGAAGGAGCCCTATCGGGCTTGGTTAGCCTGTGGGACTTCGGAGGCAGCTGATAGGAACTGACAGACCAAGCGGAACGCGGCTCAGGCAGTGGCTGACGGAAAAACCCTGGTGTGGGAGGAGTTCGGAGTTTGGAGTTACCTTTGTCATCGATTCTGTTGGTAATTTTTATGGACAGAATTTCTAGGCGTAGCCAGGTGGCAGAAGTCTGTCACTTTTCTTGTCTCGGAATCTCATCTCATCTTTTTGTGGAAGTTGTGGTTCTGTTGGCTTCATCAGGTAATGGCCTCCAGCTTGCACTGGAGCAGTTTACAGCAGAGTGTGAAGCGATAGGAATGAGAATTAGCACTTCCAAATCTGAGGCCATGGTCCTCAGCCGGAAAAAGGGTGGAGTGCACACTCCAGGTCAGGAACGAATTCCTGCCCAAGTGGAGAAGTTCAACTATCTCGGGGTCTTGTTTATGAGTGATGGGAGAAGGGAGCGGGAAATCGACAGATTGATGCTGCGGCTGCAGTGATGCGGACGCTATACCGGTCCATCGCGTTGAAGAGAGAGCTGAATGTATAAGCAAAGCTCTCAATTTATTGGTCATTCTGCATCCCTACCCTCACCTGGGGTCATGAGCTGTGGGTAGTGACTGAAAGAACGAGATTGTGGATACAAGTGGCGGAAATGGGCTTCCTTCAAAGGGCGAGGAGTTTGGCCAGAAAAGAGCTGCTGCTCCTCCACACCGAAAGGAGCCAGTTGAGGTGGTTCAGGCATCTGATAACGATGCCTCTGGGTGAGGTGTTCCAGGCATGTCCCGGTGGGAGGAGACCCCGGAGCAGATCCAGGACATGCTGGAGAGATTATATCTCTCGGCTGGCCTGGGAACGCCTTGTTGTTCTCCCGGACAAGCTGGAGGAAGTTGCTGGGGAGAGAGAGGTCTGGGCTTCCCTGGTTAGGCTGCTGCTCCCGCGACCCAGCCCCGGATAGGTGGAAGAAAATACATGGATGGATGTATGGAAAAAAACCCATTCTGCACAGTTTGTGGATAAAAGTACTCAATTGTGTCCTGTTTTTAAAATGTCACCCTCCTCCTCTTGCATGTTAACAGTCAGAAGTGTAAGATAAACAGGAGAGAAGTTGCAACTTTCATGTTGCATATTTCATGAATCTGAACATAAAACTGAATCTATGAGCGTGCAGTGGGTTCATCAGCATTTTCAGTCGTTAACCAGCTGTTTCCTCTGGAATTAAAGCAACAAAAAGATAAAATTAATAACAAGCAGAAGAAAAAGGCTCCAGCGCCGAGGAGAGCTGCAGAGCATAATTATCAGGGTATTTGTCACCACGAGCGACCCCTTTCACATACACAAATTAATTGTTTGTGTTTTTAATGTATGAATATTCATGAGAGCGGCTTTAAGGATATAGGGTTAGGGGTTAGATAATCCATTATATCAATACAAACACAAGCTTATGTGTGTGTGTTTGTGCAGTCGTCGTTTGTTCTGGTTATTTCTGGATGTCACATCTGATTGTTTCCATCACAACACACACAGCCTAAGTGTACTTTATGGGAAAGCAAATGAGCAGCAGCAGAGTGCATTAAAAAAATTTCAAAAGTCTTTTGGCCTATTATGGTTTTCAATTATCCATCCATTCCAATTCAGTTCAATTCAGTTTTGTTTGCATAGTGCCCAATCACAACACTAGTCTTCTCAAGGTGCCCAAATCTCCTTCCGCTACAGAGCTTTGACATAAACAACATGATAAATTCAGTGTCATGTGTATTTGTTAGCCAAGCATTTCTGAAATGAGTGAAGCCAGTGTGTTTTCAATACATGCTAACTGGCTGTCACATGTTTAAAATACTCTGGGTTTAGTCTTCAGCACTGTGAAACTGCTATTTTCTTGTTAGGGATTCATCTTTTCAATGACTTTTACTGCAACTTTAAAAAAACTTTTGAAAAGCAGATTGGTTGAAATGGCAAGACTGCATCCAGTGGCGGTTTCCTAGCCTGTTTGGCGCCCTGGGTGAACAGTCCCTCTGATCCCTTTACCCCTGGTCCTAAAGTGTATATTTATTTTCTTACTCTTCTTATATTTATTGTTTGTTTACTTGCACAGCTGTAACTGGAGCCTCGTCGTCTCGTCTCTCTATATAGGGCTTTGGAGTTGACGTCATGCCGTAGTGCATTGTGGGATGGGATGTGCCATGTCAGAAGGCAACAAATCAAAACAAACACACTGTGTTGGAAGCTGTACTGCCAAAACCATGCTTAAAGTCAGCGCAAAAGACAAAGGGCTGTATCGTGACCGATTGCGCCCAGACGCCAAGAGACGGTACGTGGAAAAAATAGCGTGCATCGGTAATGTGGACCCGTATGAAATAAGGCAGTGGAGTAGAAACCCAGACAGCCTACCACCGTTGTCCTATCCCGATAGGGGAAATCATTTTCGTAATTATAAATCCCTGGAGGCGCACATCTGATTCAAAAACTGTTGGGTACAAGATTTGGCCGTTTTTAAGCCTCCACGTTGTAAGTACGTTGACCATATGACCAAGATACAGCCAGAGGTTGCACATAACATTGACTTCTCCTCAGCAGCTGCCCCAAAATTTGCTCTAGATGAACGATTCATGATTGATGCCAGCTGTGTGTTGCCATGTAAATAGTTTGCATTTCATGTGTATGTACTTGCTAAGTACATGTGAACAGATCTTGAATTAAAAAAAAAATAAACATACTTTTCTTTCTGTTTCATTGAAACCACTTTACAGAAAGTACAATTATTTACAATGAACTGTACATGCAACACAGCAGTTTTATGAATATTCAACAAGAGCAAGTTTCATTTGGCCCTGGTTTGACAACCACACTGGGGCACATATTCACCAAAACACAGCACACCTTAACAATCTTATCAATCAGTGCTGTCTTCACTCTCACATGATATGAGTAATCGGATTGGCATTGTAGTGTGTAGCATTTTGAATTTGTTACGCAAACTACCTATTACTCACTCAACATGAATTCTCAGGTGGGCAATTGCTCTCGTTTGGGGATGGCAGAGAACTTGATATCCGCTCGTCTGACCGCTGCAATCCAAGCCTGACGTCTTCGTTTAGTATTATCGGATACATGAGATCCCTCCCGTTGCCTCCAGGAGGGGAAACAATGAAAAGAGAGCCCATTTTCCAGCTTCTTGCCTTCCCTATCGTGTGATCTACCGTTGCAACCGACAACACAGTGCGTACGAATCATAGCTGATGCTTCCGTGTGTTTTGTCTGGCCTACTGTCATGGCGAGAGGGGGCGTGGCCTCCCTCCCGTGACATCACGCTCCAAAGCCCTATACTGGACTGTATGTAGCATAGATGAGAATAAAGTTTACTTTGACTTCACCAGCAAGCAGGCGCACCGAGGGCTCTCGTGCTCACTTTTCACGTATAAAATTTCGAAAAAACATTGGTACAAATTATAAGTCTGTATCATAATGTCTGGTGTTTTCTTGTTTGTTGTTTTGTTTTTATTTTGTTTTATTTTGCGAGTTGGTTATTAGACGCTGCTCCAGCCAGCCAGAGAATCCCCCGCCGCCCCGCCCTCTCCTCCCTGTGCCGCAAGCAGCAGGCGC